AAAACTAAATAGTTCCATAATATCTACTTGAATACTCTTTTTCTGCTTGTTTATTTAGCATACATTTATTAGAGTACCAGTTATCAAATAACTGCAAGCATTAGGGGTGAAAATATAGAACAAATTCCTACCCTTCACAGAACAAAACAAATAGTCCCATATAACAATTTTGTTTCTATCCACTTGAATACTTTGTTTTTTCTGCTTGTTTATTTAACTCATATTAGAGTAGCAGTTTTATTAGAGTGTCAGATGCTGCGAGTGTTAAGGATAGGAAAATATAACAAATGCCTGCCTTTCAAGAAAACAAAAACCCAAACAGTCCTGTATATAACTTTGTTTCTCTCTACTTGAGTACTTTAATTTTTCTGCTTGTTTATTGAAGTATCAGTCCTAAGATGTTAGGGAAAGATAAATTCCTGTTCTAGATTTTTAAAAGATTGAACTTTTTTTGAAAATTTTTTATTTATTGAATCACCGTGAGAACAGTCACAAAGCCTTTCAGTTTAAGTCTCGATCAGTCATACGGTGATCAAACACCCATCCCTTCACCAGTGCACATTTTCCACCTCCAAGGACCCCAGTATACCCCCCCCCACTTCTCCCCTGCCTGACTTCCACTCTACTCTCTCTCTCTACATTTCATTTTCATTTCATTTCATCATCCTGTTATTCGTCGATTGCCTCGAGCAGGCCCCAGTAACGTCTCTTTCATCCTAACCCTGAGATTATATTCAAGGCTCTTTAGGAGAATGAGACCCATCATTGTTACTGGTATTTGGCATATTTGGTACGCCACGGGGAGTTTGCCAGACTCTGCCCTGTGGGCAGGCTACATTCGATAGCCTGCAAGATTGTCCAAAGTAGGAATGAGATAATAAGATGTCATAAAAAGATGTCCTGATAAGATGTAGCACGGCCGCATTTGCGGCTGCATGGTTCCGGGAGCTGGATTTTATAGTCTCTGAGTCTTGGCCGTTGATGGGATTACACGGCGCCAGGGGGCCAGGTGGTGGGTGTGACCCCCGCCTACTGGAATTTGGAGGATCTGGGTGGAGGATGCTCGACTCCAATCCGAGTAGGCTTGGAGATCTTGGCCCTGGAACCCGCGTGGAATTTGTCCCTCTGCCAGTACCTTCATGTGTGCGGAGAGTGGTCTCAGCATGGTGGTGGCTGGTCCTGGAGGTCTTTGGCTGCCGGAGCCCTGGTCGGGGCGGGGAGGAAAGCTCAACCCGCTCCCCTCCAAGGGGCCCCGGCAGGGAACAGCCAGGCGCGGGGGCAGAAGACTGCACCGTTCTCGTCCGGGAGCTGGATTTTATAGTCTCTGAGTCTTGGTCGTTGATGGGATTACACAGCGCCAGGGGGCCAGGTGGTGGGTGTGACCCCCGCCTACTGGAATTTGGAGGATCTGGGTGGAGGATGCTCGACTCCAATCCGAGTAGGCTTGGAGATCTCGGCCCCGGAACCCGCGTGGATTTGTCCCTCTGCCAGTACCTTCATGTGTGCGGAGAGTGGTCTCAGCATGGTGGTGGCTGGTCCTGGAGGTCTTCGGCTGCCGGAGCCCTGGTCTCTCTCTACATTGATCACATTCAATATTACAACAAAAGACCCACCATTATTACTTGGAATTTTCCCCAACAATCAGACCTGCCAAAAAGACATCATTAGATAATTTGTTTTCTATTGCTGATTATGAAGAGCATATGATGTCACACGGCTGCTATTGCGGCCACCCGATATTGGATTTCTGATGTTCTAGTAATAAGTCTGGAGGGATTACTGCCAAAAGCCGCTGGGTTCTGAGATTGGTTTGTGTGCCTCTGGAATCATGGTCATTCAGGAGCCTGAGGAGGCGTTCATGGGCCTTGTCAGGGTGGGGAGCAGGGCCGGTTCCACCCACCATCTTTGTGAGGTCTCGTGTGCAGTCTCTAGCTGTTCATTAGGCTCTGAAAGATAGTGGCCACCATGTCCCGGCCGCCAGGGGCAAAAGGTGGAGGGACAAACACCCACCGCTCCCAGGGTGGCATGGCGCCATAGTTTAATGCACAGTCCAGATGCATTTCGGTTGGGCATCATATTTTGCTTGGATTTTCCCACCACCATTCGCCTGCCTTCCAGGAACTGACACTAGATAATTTACTTTCTATTGCTCACTTTTCATATCAGGAAAGGCAGCTTTCGCGGCCATGTAGTTCGGAAGAATAATCCTGGTGCCCACATACTGGAGCCATGCTCGTAGAAGCTCATGGTCACTGGGATTCCATTTGGAGAAGGCGGGGAGACAGCACCTGCCCTATCTGGAACCTCCTGGCAATATTGGTTTGTTACCAGCTGGAGAATTCTCCAGGTGTTGTGGAGCCCCACCCACCAGTTTTCATCACTGCTGTGTGCCTTTTTTTTTTTATTTAAGTTTTAGTCACTGTGAAGTTACAAAGTTATTTATGATTGGGTTTCAGGCATATGATGTTTCAACATGGTCCTTTCACCAAGTTTCCATTTACACACACACACACACACACACACACACACACACACATAAACACACACACATTTGCTTCCCACCCACTGTCTATTAGGAGAGGCGGGTTTTTTTTTTTTTTAAAGACATTTTGTGGTTGGGGCTGGAACAATAGTACAGGGGGTAGGGCAGCAGGTAAGGCATTTGCCTTGCACATGGCAGACCCTGGTTCGTTTCCCAGCATCCCATATGGACCCCCAAGCACCGCCAGGAGTAATTCCTGAGTGCAAAGCCAGGAGTAACCTCTGTGCATCACTGGTGTGACCCAAAAAGGGGGGGGGGGGGGGGGGAAAGACACTTTGTAGTCAGTTACAGTACTGTTGCTGATAGGTTTTCATACATAACACTTTAACACCTTTCAGCACCATCTCCTTCCAGTTGAACGCTTTCCTCCACCATAAACATTTCCCCCTCCTTGTCTTATCTCCCAGCCCCCTCAAGTGGCAGGTTCTTACTTGACTTCCAGTTCTCATGTTCATTTTCATTGCCTTCGGGTATTTGTTATTTGACTATTGTTTCCTTATGTTCTGTGTATGAGAGAGATCATTCTTTGTCACTCTCTTTCCCCTACTTCATTCAGAATGATGCTCTCCAGTTTCCTTCATGTAGCAGCAAATATTATGACTTATATTCTCATGACCGAGTAATATTCCATTGTGTGTATGTACCATAATTTCTTTATTCGGTCAGCCTTTCTTTTTCTTTCTTTCTTTCTTTCTTTCTTTCTTTCTTTCTTTCTTTCTTTCTTTCTTTCTTTCTTTCCTTCCTTCTGTGTGTGTGGGGGCCACACCTGGTGGTGCTCAGCAATCCTGGCCCTGCACTCTAGAATTACAGTGCTTGGGGAACCATATGGGATGCTGAAGATCAAACCTGGGTCTGCCGCTTGCAGAGCAAGCACCTTACCCACTATGCTATCAGCCCTATCCAGTCATCTATTCTTGGACTTAGATTGTTTCCAGATTTTGGCTATCGTGGATAGTGTTGCAAAGAACATAGGGATGCCAATGTCTTTTTTCCATTTTGTTTTTGGGACCTCGGTGTATATTCCAAGAAATGGGGTTTCTGGGTCATATAGAAGCTCAATTACTAGATTTTTTAGAAACGTCCATATTGTTTTTCAGAAAGGTTGGACCAGTTGACATTCCCACCAGCAGTGAATGAGAGTCCCTTTCTTCCTGCATCCACTTCATTGGTTGTTCTTTTTCTTTTTGATGTGTGCTAGTCTCTGCAGTGTGAAATGTTATCTTGTTTTGATTTGTATCTCCCTGATTGTTAGTGATAGAGAACATTTTTTTCATGTACCTTTGGTACATGAAAATATAAACGTTTGTATTTCTTCTTTGAGGAAGTTTCATTCATTCTCATTTTTTGATGGGGTTGGATGTTTTTTTCTTGTGAAATTCTACCAGTACCTCATATATCTTTGATATTAACCTCTTATCAGGTAAGTGTTGAGCAAATAATTTCTCCCATCTTGTGGGCTGTAAAAGACTGAACTTTGAAAGAGTTCAGTGTTTTCAAACAAGCAAGCAAACAAAAACCCAATCTGTTTTACTATATTCAGATTAAGTCAGTTCCCAGGTGTCAGCAAGTATATTCCAAAGCAGAAACTCTCAGTCTCAGCACTGACGGACAGCCGACTCTCCAGAGGAGCATTTATGGAATGGTTAGCATTATTTCTAACCAATACTGGACCCTCTTTTCCAAAACATCTCCAGACATTGTCACATGTTTCCTGGGTTAGAGATCTAGACAAGAAGTGGATTTTATATGTTACGGGCAAGGAACTTTTTATAATAGTTTTCAACACTTAAACACAAAACTAGCAAATGTAATAAAAATAACCTAGGTTTGTCACATAGTACTTAACATTCATATAACTTCTCAAAGAATAATACACAATATTATAACTCTAATTACAACTAAGTATTTTCATTTGGATGTCTGTAAGATCTCTAATACACAAAGTTACTGTGTGTATAAAAATAATCTATTGCTTTCACAGGAACTTCACTGAAACAACAATCAGTAAAGTAACTGGAAAGGGCTAGTCTACTTTTAATAAAAACCTGAGGTGTTTTCTTTTTTTTCTTTAGGTTTTTTGTACCTACGTTTACCCCTTTCTTGTCAACAATAAAAATAATTTCATTTCCTTAGTGACTATCCTGGTAGCTTTCAGAATGTTTTCTTTGTTCTTGAATCATAAGAGTAGGATTTTGTTACTTTATATTTTAAGCAGTAATTTATTTTATTTGTATATAATTGGAGGTGGTGATGGTGGTGTTTGTATACTTGGCTAAAGTGCATGGTAGGTTTCATCTGTGGTGCCAGAGATCACACTTGGTATTGCCAGGGTTCACACCCAGCAGTGTGGGGCACTGCCGAGGATGGAACTGGGAGTCTCACACATGCAAGGAGAGAATTTTAAGTAAATTTCACAAATCCATACTTTACTCAAACTGCTTTTGTATCCTCCTTACAGAATTTCCGTGCCTCTCAAGAATTTTAATTCACCATGGATAATCTATCTTCAGCAGAAATTCAGCTGAGGGCTAACCAGGTGACTGATGAGGTAAGTGTTTACTTGGAATAAGAAATTCTCTTCCAGTTTTGTAGTGAAAGGGGAGAACCTTTGTTTTTGTTTAGGGACCACAACAGAGGTATACAGGCCACTGCCGGTGTTGCTTGGGACCATGCAGTGCTATAAATCAAACCCAGGATCCCGCCACACAAAGTTCATCTCATGTTTCTGTGGCCTGACAGGCCTTCTTTGAAAACCTTTTCTACTCAGGTATCAAAGAATGCATTTCCCCTGCAGTGCAACTGCTAGCTACTTAAGTTTTATTCCTCTTTATCAATTTTTGGTGTTTGGGCCACACCTGGTGGTGCTCAGGGTCTGATCCCACCTTGGTGTTCAGGGATTCTTCCTGAAAGTGTGGTGTTCAGGGGACCTCGGAGTGCTGGGGAATGAACTGAACCTTCTGCCTGCTATGCGAGCCATCTCCTGACCCTGCTATGTTTTTTAGAAGACTAAAACTCTGTTTTTTTACCCCTTAGTCTCTGGAAAGTACAAGGAGAATCCTTGGTTTAGCTATTGAGGTAAGAACATGTTCTTAAGTAAGTATGGAAATTGTCAGGATTGGATCAATTAGGTGTTATTATTTGATTCAGTGGTGTAATTGTCAGACCATGTAAACATTATTGATCCTCTTTGTTCCCTTTGGCAATATTGGAATATGACAGGGAGGATCCATTAATCATGAGCTTATAACTTAATTGGAATGCGAAAGTTAGTATGTTAAAGAAAGTCTCTTGATTTTGGGATATTGGGTTGGTTTTTTTGTGGTTTTTTTTGTTTGTTTTTTTTTGGTCTCTATTCCTCTGAGAACTTAGGTTGCTGAATGAGCCTCTCTTGCTGTCTGTCAGGTCTTGTAGGTTTTGTTTCTTTAGTTTTTGATATGTCGTGATATCAAATTTTTCCCCCTTCTTTTAGTCTCAGGATACAGGAATCAAGACTATCACTATGCTGGATGAACAAGGGGGTGAGTTGAAGCTATTGGCAGAAATTCCTCATTTGACTTATGAAGCCAGAAAGCCTCTTTCAGATCAACTATGTATAATATTCAGCTACATATTAAAACATCATACATACCTTTGGGTATGCTTTCCCTTTGTAAGATAAGATTAATTTGTTTGTTTTCCTTCTGATTTGAATTAAATTATTTGAATTGAATATTTGAATTGAATTAATAATTTAGTCATAATTAGTACATTAGATTTTATAATATTCTTGCATTGTTTTCAAAAATCAAGGTAAGTAAGTTTTCAAATAGATCTAGGATCCAACGCAGAAAGATTGCATGTAAGGTGAGGTTGGAAACATACATTTATTTGAGTTAGCCTTGTGAAATATGGTCTAGTTTTTATTCGTCTTGTGATGACCTGTTCAGTGATAGAAATGCTAGGGATCTAGATCTGATTATGGTCAAAGTATATTAATTTGATTGCAAGGATGTTCAAGCCTCACATTTTTCTTGTATACAAATTTATTTTAGAAAAATTATTCTACAACAAAATTAAAATTAAAAGGGGTCAGAGCAATAGTTGCTGGGAGTGTGCTTGCCTTACATGCAACCTACTGGGGTTAGATCCTGGCACCCTATACAGTCACCTGAGCAACTGTCCAGGAGTAATTTGTGAGTGCAAAGCCAGGAGTAAGCCCTAAGTATTGCTGGGTGTAACCCAAAAACTAAAACAGAAGAAAAAAATACAAGAGAGAGAGAGATAGAGAGAGAGAGGAAGAAGGAGGGAGGGAGAAAAAGAGAGAGAAGCAAGAGAAAATTTTTCAAAAAAGAAAGAAAAATCATTCTACAGTAAGAGATCAAGTGCCTCAGGATCCATATGTGAAAGACTGTTTCACACTGGATAATATGTCATACCTCGGCACTAGTTCAGTCACTACAGTGCATCATTGTTGGATTTAAGGATGAAGCTTTCTGCTCCATAATAATAGTGTTTTCTGGTTGATACTGTGGATATAACACAAAATTTAACTTTAACAACTTATTCTTAGAACAACTAAACCGTATAGAAGAAGGCATGGACCAAATAAATAAAGACATGAGAGAGGCAGAGAAGACTTTAACAGAACTCAACAAGTGCTGTGGCCTTTGTGTCTGCCCATGTAATAGGTGAGTTGATATATAGGATCATTTTGAATAGGTTCTTTTAAAAAGTAAATTTAAGAGTGTCCTCTTTCCCTAACCTCCCACTTTTCCAGTAAGGTCAAATGTGTGACTAGTCCTTAACTAAGGAATTTCGTTTGATCAATTATTTCTCCATCAGGTATGAGAAACTTTTAAGGTAAATGATCACTGAAAAAACTGTGACTTAAAATGGATAAATCCTTGAAGTCTCAATTTCAGTTTTTAATAATAAAATGGGAGGGAAATGTACATGTGGATAATACAGAACAGGATGGAGATGGTGTCTTTTTCTTTTAAAAATGGAATATTTTAAATATATATTATATACTACATATATATTATATATACTGTGGAAGGCAAAATGAGGGATAGCTAGGAAAGTAAAAAGCTTGAATCCTATCTTCAAAGGACTTTGCATGTGATTGGTTATATGAGAAAGAATAGCAAGAAGTGAAAAATAAGTACATCCTGTGTTAGGTCTTTTGATTCAGATTAAAGTTAAGTTTATAGAATTGATAAGTATTGGTTTAGAGAACATATTATAGAAGTAGGGCTTGGGGTCACAGTCTAATTAGAAGAATTTGGATGGACATAAAAGAACTGGGAGAACATTTCCTTTCCTATGAAAGATTTAATTTATATAAAAACTAAAGAGGAACTTGATTTACTTGATTTAAGCTTCAGGATTCATACAGCTGAGAATTGGAAATAAGTAATGCATAGGCTGTCAAGGAACTTGGGTGTCAGAATAAATGGTTAGTAGATTGGAGTGGAGCTTATATATGTTCAGGGAACTTTTTAGGAACCTTTTGTAGTATAGGCCTGTGACGTAAGTCCTTACTGAGATATGATTAGATGTGACTCATATAATTTTGTTGCATATCAAACATGAAGCAAGACTCAACTAAGAATGGGAATTTAAGTCTGTAGTAAATTCAGAGTAAAAGCCTTCATACTGTGTTTGGTGTATGGGATTATGCTTGTTAAAAAACTATTTTTGGTGAGTCTAAAATATTTAAATTACTTTTCTTGGAAAGACCAAACTTATTGTGGTGACAAATATTCACACCAAGATAGATTTGGATTAAGGCAATTAACTATCTTCTTTCCTTTTGTAGAGGAGTTCATCTTTGTTTTTGAAAGTAATTAACAGGTGCCAGATTACTAGCTTAATTGGCGGAACTGAGTTTAGGCTTTGCATACAGTGTTCTCAGTTTGATTCTCCACCTTGACTCTGGCCTCAGAAACCAAAAATATAACAGAATAACTTGAAACTTCAGTGAAAGATCAGTGTGTAGAGATTGAATGACATCTTACTGATGATAGGTCCTTAGTCTTGTATTATTCTAATATCAATGAGAAAAAAACAGTCCTGCCAATTCTGAAACAGTATTATCAGAGGTTTGCTTTCATTTTATCTTGCTTCAAAAAAATTCTGTTTCCACAAACTTGTTGATGATAAGTGAGGGTTTTCTATATTCTTTTTTTTTTTTTTTGCTTTTTGGGTCACACCTGGCGTTGCACAGGGGTTACTCCTGGCTCATGTGCTCAGGAATTACTCCTGGCAGTGCTCAGAGGACCATATGGGATGCTAGGAATCGAACCTGGGCCAGCCATGTGCAAGGCAAACGCCCTACCTGCTGTGCTATGGCTCCAGCTCCTGCTATATTCATTTTTAAAGATCGTTATAAGCTTTACTCCTTCCAGCTGTCTCAGCTGGTGTAGAAAACCAAGAGTAGAAGACAGAGTTCTACAGATTTCAGCATTTTCAGCATTTTACTCCTTGTCAACCTAAATTTGTCAACCTATTTAGATTTTTGTTGACTCTGCAGCAATGTGGGGATTTATTATTATTATTATTATTATTATTATTATTATATTTGGCTTTTGGTGTCACACCAAAAGTTTAAGAGTTACTCCTAGCTTTGCACTCAGGAATTATTCCTGGTATTGCTCAGGAGAACCATATGGGTCCCCATAAATATGGGATGCTGGGGATTGAACCTGGGTCGGCTGCATGCTAGGCACTATACTATCACTCTGACCCCAAAATGCAGGGTTTTTAAAAAAAATTTTTTTGTTTTTGTTTTGGGTCACAGCCAGCAATGCTCAGTGGTTTCTCCTGGCTCTGCACTCAGGAATTATTCCTGGTGGTGCTTAGGGGACCATATGGGATGCTGGGGATTGAACCCAGATTGGCTGCATGCCCGACCCACTGTACTATTGCTCCAGCCCAGAAATGCATTTTCAATAACTGTGATTTGTTAATCAGAATTTCTCAGGTTACTTTAAGCAAACAAGTCACAATTGTATGAATTAGTTGGTCCAAATTAACAATGTGCACACTTATTTGTGCCTTTTTCTTTGTTGTTCTGTGTACTCTCTTGGAAGGGTTAAAGAGGAGAAAAGGCAAATGGATGAATTTTTGAAAAATCAGTTATGAAGAGAACAAGAAGGAATATCTTCCTAGGATCAAGAAAAATCAGCCCAAGTCAGGAAATGATAAGCAGAAGATCACTGATTCCTAAAATGGTTTAAGATCACAGAAATTTCCCCCATCAAATTAATGAAGGAAATGGAGCTACAGAAATATTAATTTAAAGTTATTTTTGTGTTTCCCAAGCAATCATAGGCAAAATTTTCTTGGATACTGGTAAGAAAAAAAAATGTAGTGTATTGGGGATGGAGTGATAGCACAGCGGGTAAGCCGTTTGTCTTGCATGTGGTCGACCTGGGTTCAGTTCCCAGCATCCCATATAGTATCCCGAGCACTGCCAGGAGTAATTCCTGAGTGCATGAGCCAGGAGTAAACTCTGTGCATCTCCAGGTGTGACCCAAAAAGAAAAAAAAAAATTGAATATTGTCCTGAAGCAACGTTTTAGCCTCTGAACTCAGCAGAACTGTTTTAGCGGGTCAAGAGAGAAAGGTGGAGTACAGGGACTCCTGAACTGGTAACAGTTGTTCCCTGAAGTAGAGAGAAATGTCCCACTTTCACTTGCCTCTTCAGTCTGTGACTTAGTTACATATATGGTTACCTAGTTTGGAGACAAATTACTATTTCTCAATACCACTTACTAGAGAAGTTCAAAATTTAGTCTCATAGGCTTTCTACCATTCCAGTATGATATGGTTGGAGTATAAAAGCTGTGGCTAATGTACATGCTAATTTATAGTTTACTCAACAGTTGTTTCCTCTGTCCTACTCACTGAATATACAAAGATAATAACTTTGGTACCACTTGTTTTACTTTTCATTACTACTTTTTTGTGTCCCTCTCCTGATACACAGTAGGTATTTAATAAATGTTGATTGATTATTCTAGAAGCATTTTGTATTATGGGAGAATTAAGATTTTAAAAATTAAAGTATAAATGAAATATATGGTAAAAGTAATTAAGGAAAGCATGACTGTTTCATAATTTCTCCATTAGTATTTATGTTTTCTTCATATGAATTTTTATAATTTTAGGAAAGAGTGTCATCAGACAGATATTAGGAAAAGTGTACTATGGTTTAATAGTTTTCTTGATTTTCTCTTTAGATTCTCAGATGTTGGTGGTTTCTGTGAAACCAGGCAGGAATTTTAATGTATTATTTTGAAAACTTGGAATTGTGTCTGTTCTGTTTGACTGGCATTCACTGTTTTCTGCATTTCATTCTCTCACCTAATCTCTTCCTTTCTAATCTGCTTACTAAAATAATGAAGATTTAACATCAGAAGCCGAGCTCAGTAACTGATCAAAGGGAAGTTTAAGATGCAGTCTTGTGGCGCAGTTTGGGCTGTTAACCTGCTTCTAAAGGTGATCCTTCAAATGGCTTTTCTGTGCATGTGCATGGATTTTGTGGATGCTGAAGACTGTCTTGAACCGTGTTGTGATGTGGTGTAAAATGAATCTGTTCTTGTTGATCTTGGGATCGTGGGATTTTCCAAAAGTTGAACTTGGCAAAAAGGTATTTTAATTTACACTAATGCCTTTTTACTGAGATGTCTGATTACTAAGATTTAGCGACATAATATTTAAGATTATGAAAATAGAAATCTCCCTGAAGTTTCTTATGATGTTCTAAGTTGATATTTATAAAGATTTGTTATATTCTAATTATGAGCATAGAAAAGTAATTGAACTGAAATCCCATCTCTCTCAGGACTTTGATTTTTGTTTTGCCTGTCACCCATAGTGATGTTCAGGGTTCCATTAGAGCCACCCTAGTGGGGAACCATACGGTTCTGGAGAGTGAACCTGGGGATCTCAAACATGCCAAGTACATACTCTTCTGCCTGAGCCACATCCCCAGCCCCTCTTCTTACAACTTTTATTCCAGCATCCTATCTTGCATTTAGTTTCCCTACTGCTTTCGGTTCAGGAATCAATGTTTTCTCTCCCTCCCTCTCTCTTTTTCTCTTCCTCTCCCTCCTTTCTTCCACTTCTTCCCTTATTCCTTCCTCCCTCCCTTCTTTCCTGTTCTCTCTCTTTCTTTTTTTTTCTTTTTTGGTCACACCCTATCATGCATGGGGATTACTCCTGGCTCTGCACTCGTGGTGGTGCTCGGGGGACCATATGGGATGCTGAGAACTAAATCCGGGTTGGCCACATTCAAGGCAAATGCCCTACCCGCTGTACTATAGCACCAGCCCTTCCTGTTTTGTTTTTCTCTCTCTTCTTTATTTTCTTTCCCTCTTGTGCTTTCTCTCTTCCTGGATTTTGGGCCAGCGGTGATTAGGGGCTACTTCTGACTTGTGTTCAGTGGTCTTTCCCAGCGGAGCTGGGTGACCATTCATACTGGGAATCAAATTTCTGGACCTTCTGCATACAAAGCATGTGCTCAGCCCAATTGAGTGATCTCTCTAGCCTCTGAGAATTAAAGTTTCCCGTATGAAAGTATTCATTCTGATATTTGGATTCCCTGTAGGTGAGAGTTTAAGAGTACTACCAAATTGAGAAATTAATCACCAGTTTAATCATCATTATCATTTGTAATATGGTATAATATATTTAAAATGTGACAATATCGATGGAGAAATAGATAAAGGGGGTAGATCACACGTTCTGCATTCATGAGGCTTGAGTTCAGTCCTGAGCATCAAGCCAAGGGTAGCTCCTGAGCAATGCTGGGTGTGGCCCCAAAAGGGCAGGGGATGGAAAGTTGCCATGTTTAGATCATCTCCTTTTTTTTGACAGTATGTAGACATTGAACCCAGGGCCTCAAATATACTAGGTATATGCCCTGCCTTTGAACCATATTCACATCCCTTTTGTCAAAAATAAGGGTGTTTCTCTCTTATTACATATATGTACACTATTTTATCTAATTTCTTGTGGAATTACACGTGTTATCTTGTGATTTAATGTAGATGTAATATAGAGCTAACCAGCTAACCAGTCTTAATCTTTGTGGAAGCTAATGACTCTGGTAAACTTACCGTTTATTGTAATGTTTGATTCTTTGATTTTGGATCTTTATGGAACTTCAAAAGTTACTGTTAAATACTTGAAATATAATAAATATACACATATATGTATACACACATATACACATATATATGTACCCGTTGTTTCCCTCTTTTTTTTTCTTCTGGTACTAGGGATAACCCAGAGCTTACACATGCAAGACAAATGCTCTGTGATGAATTAAAAACTCTGAGCTATATCTGTTGTTCTTGATTTCCCTTTTCATCTTTCCCGCAGTCTGATCATCAAACACATTCATTAATTATGGTAATATTTATTTTGTCCTTTTTTCCCTTTGATAGGAAAATTATACCTTATATTGGATTTTTTGCTGTTTTTATTCGCTTAGTACTAATGCCCACCAAAAGTAGAAAAAGCAGTCCTCCAAGGACTACCAGAAATGATCCCGGAGGACAGAGACAAGAATAAGTCTTGAGCACTGCTGGGTGCCGTGCCTGCTCCCCCTCCCCACCCCCAAGAAAGGTAGAAAAAAATTAAGTGTATTTTTCTCCCTTGGTCTTTTTTTGAGGTGACACCTGATGGTGCTCAGGGCTTACTCCTGGGCCTGTGCTTGGGAATCACTCCTGGGGGGTTTTCAAGGGAGCTGGGAATCTAACTGCAGGAGGCCACATGCAAGGCAAGTGACCTCCTTGCTGAGCTATTACTCCAACTCTTCACTTTCTAATTTTGAATGAAGTATGTAGGAAAAAGTGATAAGTAACCATTATTATATTCCAAAAATTAATGTTAAAAAATCACTATTCGATTGTTCTGAACTGACATGGATAAGCCTAGCTTTCCAAATGGAGTTCTTATAATAAAATTGATCAGAAATTTGCTAAGGATTTCTTTGTTTTATGGGCCATTCATAGCGGTATTCAGGTGCCATATGGTGCTGGGAGCTTGAACGCAAGACCTCACATGTGTAAGATGTACTGTGCCACGTCCCAGTTTCCTGTTTTGTTGTTATTTGGTTTTGGACCACACTTATCAGTGTGCTTAGGAATCACTCCTATTGGACATTGGGGGATCATAGGGGTTTTGGGGAATAAACCTGGGACAGCTGGGATTAAACCTGACTACATGAAAGGCAAGTGCCTTACCTGTGTTTCATTGCTACACTGCTGCCCCTGCCCCTGAGTTCCTGTTTTATTGTGAATTTTATGAGCTGGAGAGATAGTATTGCATGTAGGGCACTAGTCCTGAATGTGGCCAACTCAGGTTCAGTCCCTGGCATCCCATATGGTCCCCCAAACACCTCCAGGTGTGATTCCTGAGTGCAGAGCCAGGAGTAACCCCTGAGCACCACTGAGTGTGACCCAATCCCCCACCCCCCAAAAAAGCAAAGTTTATTATGAAGTTTAATTTCTTCCCAGGAGGCCCTATAAAATTTATCATGCTAAAGAATTCTATCACAGATCAGAACCAGTTCTTCCTGAAACCCAAACAGCCTAAGTACCTGTGTCTCAAAGCTGGGAAATGTTAAGTGGCCTGAAGACTAAAGTTGACAGTAACATGCACTTTGATGATGAGTATGTTGTAACATTTTACACCTAAAACTTAAATCCATTCTTAGAAACCAGTGTTACCTCAAGAAAAAAGTGCTTGTCAAAAATGTTAAGTAGGAAAAACTGCAAATTGTAATTTCTATACTCATGGACCTAAATTATTAATTAAGGTTTGGGTTAAGGTCGAAGCCAAAGACTTAAAATACATGGGACTGGAGAGAGAGTACAGGGCTTTAGTAATTACCTTGCATAGTAGCCTACCTTAGTTCTAATACTAGCACTACATATGGTTTCCTAGGGAACCCTGCTGGAAGTGATCCCTGCACTCAGACCTAGAAGTAAGACCTTAGCAATGCCAGGGGTGGACTCAAAACAAAAAAGAAAAATACTTATCTAGGGAACCGAAGGGAGAAAGATCATAGAGCGTGTGCTTCACCAGTAGGAGGCTGGGTTTCCATCCTGGCACCATATGACCCTCAACTCCCACTTCCTCCCTTTCCCACTAGGTGTCGCACAAAAACAAGAAATTTACCTAGGGCCTGGGATGTAGAGCAGCAGTAAAGCATGCACCTCATGTGCATGAAACCAGGGTTCAATCCCTGGCATGATTAGACAAATCTACTTCTGTATAATGCAATTTTATATCCATGATCAACAGCGCCTTTTTATAGCCCTGTGAACCATTTTTATTATGTTTTTACGTATAAGGAAGTGGGCACACAGATAATAAAGTTTGCTTTAAATTTCTACACTAGTATATGATATTTTAGGATTAGGAGATAAGTGAATTTGCTACAAATTTTGTGACTCTCCAAATCCAATGTGTACCTTAGTTTCATTCAGAGTAATTCTTCGAGATTTCCATACATAGAAATACTAGGATGGACTAGCATCCTAAGCTAAAATAATTTCTACAGTAGGTTGGAACAGTTTCTGTTTTTTCCTCGAAAATGAGTTTTTCTTCTTTATTTTTCTTCTTTTTTTTTTTTCAATTGAATCACTGAGATAAACAGTTAACAAAGTTGTTCATGATTGGATTTTGGTCATACAATGTTCCAACACTTGGCCCTTCACCAGTGTACATTTCCCACCACTAATATCCCCAGTTTGCAGAGCCTGGCAAGCTACCCGTGACGTACTTGAAATGCCAAACACAGTAACAACAAGTCTCATGATGGAGACGTTACTGGGCCCGCTCTATTCCCCAATATCCCCAGTTTACCTCCCACTCTCCTGTACCCCTGCAACCTGTGTCTGGCAGCCACTAGAAAGAATGTTCTCAGGGTTCCAGGGGAGGGTTTGATGGCATCTTATTCTTTGTTTACAGACTAAATAGATCCTCTTTCACAATGCCAGCAATCAAACCCTCCACTGGTTGGCAAGGCAATAGCCCTACCTTCTGTACTATATCTCCAGCCCTATTTTATGTTTTTTTTTTTAAAGCCTGGATTATGGGTTTTGGGGATACAAAATAATTTCTTAGATGTAAAGGCTCTCAGCCAAAGAATTTATAACTAGTCCCAGTTACAAATATATAGCCTCAGAGTCCAACTAGGAGAGTTACTCATTGGCTGATTTTTCAGTTGGAAATAACCTGTAGCTTTCTGTTCCTTCATAGTATCTAAGAGACCATTTTTTGAAATTCAGTGCAAATTTCTTAACTTTAAAGGCTGGAGCAATAGCACAGCAGTAGGGCGTTTGCCTTCATGCAGCCAACCTGGCTGACCCGAGTTCGATTCCTCCGCCCCTCCTGGAGAGCCCGGCAAGCTACTGAGAGTATCTCAGTATCTCAGTATCTCAGATACTGAGAGTATCTCGCCCGCACGGCAAAGCCTGGCAAGCTCCCCATGATGTATTCAATATGCCAACACAGTAACAAGAAGTCTCAAGATGGAGATGTTACTGGGCCCGCTCGAGCAAATCGATGAACAATGGGAGGACCATGACCGTGACCGTGACCGTGAAAACACTATTTGCTAGATATTGTCTGGCACAAGTAGGTAGAAAGCTGGGATCTAAGTATTGCCTTAGTACTCACCCTTGTACACTCCCATTCTTCATTAACTTCTTAGATGCCTCCAGAGAACTTCGTAATGCAACCATAGAGCACCTCTCCTGAGATTTTATTTTCTTCTTAGTATCTGTCAATCTCTTTCTTGGCATGTTTCAGTTAAGGAATTATTGAAATATCATCTTGTATCTTTCTACTTGCCAGCTGCTCAGAGAAATTTTGGTAGATGTTTATTTGAACCTTTACCCAAAAAAACGTAATGTCAGAAAGTCAGTAGGCTTAGATAATTTATCCTTTTGGGGTGGGGGTGAGGAAGGTGTCACACATGGCAGTGCATTGGAAGCAACATGTGATGCCAGGTGGCTCCGTCATGCAAAACATGTGTTCCGGTCCTTTGAGCCATCTCCCCAGTCCATCATTTATCTTTTATGATGCAACATTGGGATGAAGTAGAGTACAGATAATTTAGGTTTAACTAAATGATTTTTATACTAAGGGTGCAGAGAGTCATCTTTAGGGCAACAGGTGCAAGTAGTTACAGCTCTTCACTTTCTTGTTTTCTGTTAATCTTTCTATATTCCTGACATTTGTATAGGACAAAAAACTTCGAGTCTGGTAAGGCCTATAAGGCAACATGGGGAGAAGGTGATAAGAACTCTCCTGGCAACGTAGTGTCTCAGCAACCAGGTCGAGTGAAAAATGGCCAGCCTCAGCCAACAGCCTCAGGAGCAGCAAGTGGTGGCTACATTACACGGTATGTGATTTCCTCCCAATGTTTCGCACTCCTTTAATGAGTTCCTGGCTCACTCCGGATGATAGGTTTAGATATACAAAATCCCAACCCATCCACACCTACTCTGTTTTAAAAATGCACTTAAAAGTTTGCCTCTGGTGGCTGGAGCTTAGTACAGCCAGTTTGGCGTTGGTATTCCACATGGCGGGACTGGGTTGGATCCCTGTCATCCTGTATGGTCTCACGAGCTTCCTAGGAATGATTCTTGATTGCAGAGCCAGGAGTCAGTCCTGGGCATCTCTGGGTGTGACCCCCAAACCAACGAACCAAAATAAGCAACAACCAAAAAAAAGTTTGCCTCTGACAGAACATAGACTGTGATTGTTGATGTGCTCAAAGATTAATTTTTATTTATATATTACTTCCCAAGTTATTGAAATAAGTGTTTTATACGTCTACAAATAGAAAAATGTTTTAAAATAGGGATTTTTTAAAAATCATTTTGTTTTCTTTGTGGACTGCTTCTAGCACTGCACTCCGGGTTGCTCAGAGATCACAGGGTAGTCAGATCCAGGCCTCTGTCATGGGCTCAGCCAATTGAGCTTTCTCTCTAGCCCTAGCCCTAAGTTAGCACTGCACTGCACTGTCTTCCCGTTGTTCATCGATTTGTTCGAGCGGGCCCAGTAATGTCTCCATTGTGAGACTTCTTGTTACTGTGTTGGCATATTGAGTACGTCATGGGTAGCTTGCCTGGCTTTGTCGTGCGGGCGAGATACTCTCGGTAGTTTGCCGGGCTCTCCGAGAGGGGCGGAGGAATCGAACCCGGCTCGGCCGGGCTGGCAGCGCACACGGCAAACACCCCACCACTGTGCTATTGCTCCAGCCCTAAGTTAGTGGCTTTAAATTTCTGGTGTATGGATCAATGTGGTTCTACTGCTATAGAAAGATTGAGTACCACTGATCTAGAGTGGAAGTCAGCTAGATTCCCTTTAAGGATATCCATAAAGGATCATACAGTAAATATATAGTAAATAGTAAATATTTCAGATTTTGCAGATGTTGATATCTCAGTTGCAACTACTCAGTGTTATATTGTAAGATGAAAGCTGCCATACAGGTAAATGAGCATCGCCTGTTAAATCAGCTGACTGATCAGATTTGACTCTTAGACCAGTTTTCCAGCCTTCACACCAGAAGTTGTCAAACTTGGATCACTTGGAGAGCTTTTAGGATTTCTATTTATGTGGCCAGAGAGGTAGTACAGCGGGTAGGGTATTTGTCTTGTATATTGCTGACCTGAGTTCGATCCCCAGTTCCATATGTTTTTCTTCTAAGCACCACCAAGAGTAATTCCTGAGTGCAGAGCCAGGAGTAACCCCTGAGCATCAGGTGTGACCCAAAAAGCAAAATAAATGAATAAATTTGTATTTCTTGGGACTAGAAACAGTACAGTGGATAGGGCCATTGCCTTGCATGCAGCAGATCCGGGTTTGATCCTCCGCTCCCTTATAGTCCCCCCTTAGTCCCTGAGAACTACCACGTGTCCCCAAGACATAAAATTTCTATTGTCTTTTTAATATTCCTGAAGATCTGGTTGAAGGCTAGACCACAATCATGACAGTTAGATCACAGTAATCTCTGTGGGTGGGATCCAGGCCTCTTCAGTATTGTAACTGTGTTCAGGTGATTTCAATGTGCAATCAATACTGAGAGACACTGCTTTACACTTAAATGTGCATAAGAGCACCTGAGAGATTTCTTACAACAGATTGTGGGGGTCCACTTTCAGTCTGTGATTCAAAAGGTCTGGCATAAAGTATAAGAATTAGTTTGTTTTCATTTCTAACAAGTTCTCTGATGATGCTGGGACTCATACTTAAGAACCATTATTGAGTTGTTTCTTAATCATCTCTCACATGACTTAGAGACATTGTGCTCTTGGGACTATAGATACAGTACAGAGGTTATGGTACTTGCTCCCTCCCCTTCCCCCCCACACACATACACCAGGAAAACAAAGGGGGGACTTTGTGGTATTTTTGCTCTGTTTTTATTTTATTTTTGCTTTTTTTTGTTTTGTTTTGTTTTGCTTTTTGGGTCACACCCGGCAATGCACAGGGGTTACTCCTGGCTCTGCACTCAGGAGTTACTCCTGGCGGTGCTCAGGGAACCATATGGGATGCTGGGAATCGAACCCAGGTCGGCTGCATGTAAGGCAAACGCCCTACCCACTGTACTATTGCTCCAGCCCCCTGCTCTATTTTTATTATAAAATGTTTTCCAAGAACAGTAACCTGCATTCCCTTAGGTTTAACAGTTATAGTCATTTGGATGGCTGATTTTTATGAAAACTAAATCCCAGGCAGTCCATTTATAATTCACCTGAAAAACTGAAATAACTCTCTTTTTTGGGGATAGTATAACTAATGATGCCAGAGAAGATGAAATGGAAGAGAACCTTACTCAAGTGGGAAGTATCCTTGGAAATCTGAAAAACATGGCCCTGGACATGGGCAATGAGATTGATGCTCAAAATCGACAAATTGAGAGAATCTCAGAGAAGGTAAAAACGCTTCACACAGTTTCACAGGAAAAAGAAACACCCAGTATCATTTTTTAGTAATGGACATTTCTGCTAGATGCTTTGGGGGAGAATATGAGGATCAGATTCTTTCCTTACAGGTGTAACAGTTTTAGTAAAAAGACAGTTCTAATAAGACATTGAAAACCAACATCCTGTGGATGGAGAGATAGTTCAGTGAGTAGGGCACTCTGCTTGCACTTGGATCACCCAGGTTCAATTCTCCAGCACCATGTACTGTTTCCTGAACCCCACCAGGAGTGATCCCTGAGCCCAAGCACCGAGCCAGGAGTAAGCCCTAAACACCGCCAGGTGTGACACAAAAAACAAGGAAGGAGGGAAAAGAGAGGAAGGAAGGAGATAAATGCTATTTTTTGTGAGTTGGTTCATTTTGACAGTAGTTTTGTCAAGTCTCACACTTCTAATCTTTGCGTGGGCTCTCATTTCTTTCTCTTACCACCCCTTTCTGAATGATGAGCAAGTTCGCTGTTGCAGCTTTATATATTGTTAACTTTTTATATTGTTAACTAATAACAAATGAGTACATTCCTAAATTATTTCATATGTCAGTAGTGAAACTCAGTTCTATTTAATGGACCTTATAAAGGGGACATACAAAATGCCTGTGAATAAACTGCTCTTAACTTCATGATATAAAAGATACAGAAAGTAAAATTGTGTTGTGTTTGAATATATCTGAAAGCAGTTTCTATTATTACTTCATTAAAATCTCATTGTTCTTTAGTGGAACAGCACATGCCTAATGTGGGCTTGACCTCCAGTACCATTTCTACTGTGTCATCCACTGTCACCACTTCAGCTGTGGTGGCCTATATATATATTTTTTTTTCCAATTTATTTAAAGCAGTGTGGGGGTTTTTTTTTTGCTTTTTGGGTCACACCCGGCATTGCACAGGGCTTACTCCTGGCTCATGCACTCAGGAATTACTCCTGGCGGTACTCGGGGGACCATATGGGATGCTGGGAATTGAACCCAGATCGGCCACGTGCAAGATAAACGCCCTACCCGCTGTGCTATCACTCCAGCCCCCAAGCAGTGTTTTTTTAAATCTTTTTTATTGAATCACCATGAGATAGTTACAAAGCTTTCATGATAGAGTTTCAGTCATATAATGATCAAACACCCATCCCTCCACCAGTGTGCTTTTTCCACCACAAATGTCCCCAATGTTCCTCCCACCTCCCACACCCCACCCCATCCCCTGCCTTTCCTTCTTATTCTCTCTGCTTTGGGACATTATGGTTAAGCAGTGGTTTTTAACTGCCAGCCCAGGCCATAAAATGTTTGGAAAATTTGGTCTGGCCAAAGAGGTTATTAACTGTTTTAATTGATGGAGGTAAGTTTTGTTGTTTTGTAGTGGCTATACCCCAAAAGGGCTTAGGGGTCACTCCTGACAGTGCTTACGGGATCATGCAGCACCAGAATCAAACCCAGACCTCTTGCAAGCAGCATATGCACTCAAGCCTGTGGAGCTATCTCTATGACTCGAGAGATGAGTTTAACTCTTAAGTCATTTACATTGGATTTCATTAAGGTATTCTTAAAATGCTTTCAAAGCCATCATCTGGGTTTAAGCTCCAAATTACTTATCATAGTTTAGATGTTAACTGGGATGGTAGTATGTCTGTTTTGAAGATCTTAGAAAGGTTACTTCAGTCTCATTAGATTGGGGTAACTAAATGAGATTATCTGGTTCAATTCAGGGTACTACCATCAAAGTTTACATCCTGAGCAGAAAAGAGCTTTCTTATATTTCATTGTCTAAAATACTATTGATTATGAGGTACATCTCAATTTCAGATGTTAAATTTTTTTTAAAAATACATTCTGAAATTCATTTGCAAGCTATATTTGCAAGTTCTTCTGATACATGTTTATCAACAATTGGTATACAGTTGGTTTTTCCAAATGAATTTCATATTGTCACTTCCCCAAACTGATTTTGTAATACGCCTTTCACACTTTCTTGACAATTTTTGTATTCCTTACTCCAAGTAATTGGAATTTAACTGTTAGAGTAACTTAACCTGGTGATGTTAAATAACTTTCTCTCTCTTCTTTTTCCCCAGGCTGATACCAACAGAGATCGAATTGACATTGCCAATGCCAGAGCAAAGAAGCTCATTGACAGCTAAAGCCACTGCTGAATCTCTATCATTTGTTCACTTTTCTAGCTCCTCCTCCAAGTCACATCCTTTTCAGAGTTTGAAATTTTGGTTCAGTGATCTTCTCATTATCAGGAGATAATGTGGAAGAAGTGCTAGGAATAATAGCTTCCCTATTTTATTTTTTTTTTCTTGAAGGCAGATTCTTGCTTGCCCTTCTAGTATTTTTTTCTCATACTATGATTGGTTTTCATACATCATATACAGTATTTTCCCCCCATTATCCTCATTTACTTGAGCAGGTTCTTTTGCTTTCAAGATTTGGAAGCACTGCCAAAGAGGCCATAAAACAGGAAGATGGAGGCACAAAAAGTAGATGTTACCTCTACAGTAAAACTTGTCACATACAAAAGAAGTTGCATTGCCAGTTAAGATCTGGTTGGGTTTGTTTAGTTTTTAAGTTGCAGTTGTTGCTGGTTTAGACTCATGCTTGGTTTTGGAGCTTTTATACACACTACTTTTGTTATGCACTGCAACATTGCATTTCTCTGCTTTAAAAAAAAAAGGTTTTCTTAAAGTGAACTTAAATTCTTTGACTGTTTGATGATTCATATATGTACATAGGCTCTCTGATCCCATTTCATATTGCACCATACAGGAACACTTTGTATAAATGAATGAATATTTTCATATTATTTTTAGTATCATGAACCCATTACAGGCCAATTAACCTCATAAATTTGTCATTAGTCTTTGAAAAAAAAACATGTAAATATGTATGTATAACATGAGAATTTCTCAAACTGGGTTTTAAAAATTTTGGAAAAGTTTGAAGAAGTATATCATGTGAATTCAGCTTTACCTCATTGAAATTTTGTGATTAATAATTAAGAATTATGTTTAGGTAGGAAAAAAAACTTGTTTTGATCTCAGGTAGAAAAATTGTTTTGTGTATTGTGTAACCTTAAACATTTAAAAAAAAAAGCCCTAGAATTTATTGTTTAACTAAAAGTAATTGAAAATGATGCCTTTGGTTTATTATCATACTATCATTTTTTTAGACTTGTACGTGTTTAACAGTGTCCAAGTCTGGTTTGTTTAGATCCTGAACAGTGTTAAAATAATTTAATAAATATTTGTCATTATTATTTAAAAACTAGTGTTTGCACACTTCAAAGCAATTAATGTGGATTTGTTTGCCCAATAGCCACTCCCAATTCTTATAATTATCTGATTTACGAAATTTCTTTCTCAAACAAGTAACATGTTTCTTCCTTTACCTTTTTTTAATTAGGAAGCTCTGTCAGTAATAATTTTATCAACCTTTTAAAAAATTGAATAAAGATCCATAAATCAACACACAGTCCAAAATAAAATTACCTTTAATGTCTTTTTCATTTTTATTGGATAAACAAATATCCTTTCTATAATTTGTCATTAGGTGCATTCGGTTCATTTGACTTATTTATGGTTTAAATATGCTAATGGATGAAAGGATAATGTTTGTGACTGTTAAAGAAGATACAGTTAACGTGGAACCTTCAAAGGCTGAAGAAGGAAATGTTTGAAGTGATACACAATGATGCCCTGAAGTTGCCCCATGGTAACTGGGATAGTTTGTTAGAACAAAGAATAAATTAAGCCTACCAGCAGTGATCCCTGAGTGCAGAGACAGGAGTAAGTAAACTCTGAACACCACTGGGTGTGTCCTAAAACAACAACAGCAGCAAAATAAAGTATAAATTACTGGATGTTGTACTATAGCTTAATGCCTTTACTAAAAGACTTTTTCTCCCCCTTTGGCCAATCAAACTCAGGGCCTCACAGTCAAGGCATGCACTTTACCCTCTGAGACATATCACAATCTCCTCCCCATACCCTGCTCTCCCACCCCAAAGCATTTATTTTCACTTTGCTACTTAAGATGCTTTGAACAAAAGGAAATAGTTCTGAAGCTTCCACTGTTGTTCCACAGTATAACTGGTTAGAAATGTGAGGTAATACTGCATTTACACTCTTAGCTAGTGCTGGCAATTGCTGGCTAAGAGACTCATTTCTGTGCCTCAAATTCCTTATTTGCAAATGGGGAATTATAATTCCTAACTGATAATCTTTGCAAAGACTTAATATGCACTTAGAGCAGTGCCCAATATTTGTTAAGCCCTAAACACATTAAGGCATCTATTTTCTGTAGGGTGGAGAGTTTTTGAGAATAGGAATCTCTGAATGGGGCTGGAGCAATAATATAGCAGGCAGGGCGTTTGCCTTGCACACAGCTGACCCGGGTTTGATCCCCAGCATCCCATATGGTTCCCTAAGCACTGCCAGGACTAACTCCTGAGTGCAGAGCCAGGAGTAACCCCTGTACATTGCTGGGTGTGACCCAAAAAGTTAAAAAAAAAAAAGCTGAATGTTATGAAAGATTGCACAGTTGATCTCTCAAAATTGATATACATATAGAATAGTGAATCGTGTATTAATGGGTCTGAGAAGCACATCCCTGGAGCTTAAGTTACAAATATTTCCATTGATTCGCTCTTTATAATAAAGAACAGGGATGAGGCCAGATTAGGCCCATAATGTGCTTGAAATAAAAACTGCCTTTTCCTATTTACCCCTGGAACATTCGAAACTTGTTTCAATTTTTTTGAAACGTAGTTACTGAAATACTTAACATAGCTTTGGATTCTGACCTCCTGGGTTCAAATTTTGATTAAGTCATTTACTAATTCACGGTCACGGTCCTCCCGTTGTTCATCGATTTGCTCCAGCGGGCCCAGTAATGTCTACATTGGAGACTTTGTTGTTACTGTGTTTGGCATACCCAATACATCATGGGTAGCTTGCCAGGCTCTGCCATGCGGGCGAGATACTCTCGGTAGCTTGCCAGGCTCTCCGAGAGGGGCGGAGGAATTGAACTCGGGTCGGCCATGTTGGTTGCGTGTAAGGCAAACGCCCTACCGCTGTGCTATCGCTCCAGCAAAACTTTTATTCTTGTGCATATTTTTTCTTCAGTTTTAATTTTTTTTAGCATACTTCAGCACTGTCTTTACATATCATCTGTGAATTATGAATCATCCCCTTATACTTCTCTGACATTCTATACTCAGTGGCATTTAGAATTAATTTCTTTAACTTTCTTTTTTTTTTTTAATTTCTTTTAACTTTCTTTAGTTCACTTTCTTACTAAAATTCTGCTTTTTGCAAAGACTTAGGTACACTTAGGTCCATTTACATTCTATATCAGATTTATATTTGTCAGGTTGGTATGCAAGTTTCTTACTCTAATAACTCGTTTTTCATCCTTTCAAGTATAGTTTCTTTCCCAAACCTTCCATTATAAAATTCAACTTATAAAATTCTATTCTGATACTTTACCAATGAAATAAATGGCACATTTGAGTGCTTAGTCTGTCACTAATAAATGATGGACTTTGGATTCAAACCACATCTCTAGGACCATGATTTTATTTTATATGTAAAATATAAACTTTGACTGCCAAACATTTTTTGTTTGTTTGTATTTTAGCCACTCCTGTGATGCTCAGAAGTTACTCCTGGCTCTACGCTCAGGAATTACTAATTATTCCTGGGGAAAAAAAGTGCTTGGGGGATCATATGGATGTGGGGGATTGAACCTGGGATATCCACTTGGAAGGAAATAGCGTCTACCTGCTGTACTATCAATCTAGTCCCTGACTGCCAAACAAGTTTTAAAGGAATGTAGGGGATTCAATAAAAATAAATAAAAATTAAAAAAAAAACTAGTATGACACTAATATCCAATGTCAGGAAAAACGGGCCAGTAGAATTGGTCAATGGTTGGTCAATGGTGTGGTATATGAATGGTAGTTAAGATAGAGGAGGATCCACTCTGACAACACTAGTTGGAAATGATCACTCTGGACAAGAACTAAGTCTTGAAAGCAGGTAAAAGGTAATCTTTCAGCATCTGTATCGCAAACCATAATGCCTAAAATGAGAGAGAAAAAGAATAAGAGAAGAGAGGTGCCTGCCAGAGAGGCAAGCTGGGGTGGGGAGTGGCTTGAAGGGGTGGGAGGGAAACTGGAGACACTGGTGTTGAGAAATTACACTAGTGGAGGGATGAGTTTTGGAACATTGAAATGTAATCGTGAGCAACTCTGTAATACTTTATCAGTGATTCAACAAAAAAATTATAAAAGAATATAAGTAGTTTAGGATTGATGGCCAACCTGCATTCTGTAGTTCTGGATCAGAAATCAACCTACTTGTCAGTTCATACTTAAATTCTCATGTACAGTAACTTTGTGCATATACTTTAAAAGGTCCGTGGCTTTTAAGTAGCTTAGCTTTAGCAAGAGAGCTGAATATCATGATGAGACATGCAGTTGTAGCAGACGGGAGTGGTTAGTTCATCCTCAGGAAGGGGCTTAGACATAAGGGTGACTGGGTAGTAAGAAATGGTGTAGCGGGGCTGGAGAGAGTATAGTGGGTAGGGCACTTGCCTTCCATAGAGCCACCGTGGGTTCAATCCCCAGCATCTTATGGTCCCCTGAGCACCACCAGGAGTGGTTCCTGAGTGTAGGAGTAAGCCCTGACCACTTGCCAGGAGTGGCCCAAATCCTCTTTTGCCCACCAGGAAAAAAATTCAGGGCACAGTAACTTAGAGCACCAGGGATGGAGCGATAGCACAGTGGGTAGGGCGTTTGCTTTGCACGTGGCAGACTTGGGTTGGATTCCCAGCATCTCATATGGTCCCCCTAGCATAGCCAGGAGTAATTCCTGAGTGCAGAGCCAGGTGTGACCCAAAAAGCAAAAACAAACAAAAACCCAAATCAGTAACTTAGAGCATCTCCATTACAACTTGGAAAGTAGATGGTCGTGGGTTCAAGTCACTGGTTCCATATACATCAAGCACAATCCGGGCAGCTCTGACGTTTGAGCCTGGCAGCCTTATCTGTGATTGATAGTGTCACTAGAAAATAAGGAGGAGCCACCAAAAAGGGGAGGGGGCAGGATGTAAGAGGGCCAACCTAAAAGGTGGGGGAGGGTGTGTAGGGTTTAACTGTTGGGGACTGTCCTTGGTAGCCCTGCTTGTTTTCCATGAGAAGGGGATGAGCAGGGGAAAAACTGGGCGTGTGTGAGCGTCATGCCCTGGCGGCTGCACCTCCTTGGCCAGGCCAGGAGCCATATTCTCATTCCTGAGAGAGTTCAAGGAATTGCCCACATACGCAGCTGCAAAGCAGAATAACAGATAACGCAGCTTTCCCACGGAGTGTTCACTACATACTATAAAACAAAATGAGCTTTGAGATAAAGTCACTGTATGTTTCATACAGACATCCCTACCCCATCTTCAGCTCTCATTCCCTCTCTCTGGCCGAAGTTCAAGTTGGCTGCGTGGGATGCAGCTTAACTCTTTGAAGAATATTTTCCTTGCGTGTGTGAGGCCCTGGGTTAGGTTTAGAATCATGGGGTTGTAGGAGGGCATCCCACAAAATACAGGATAAAGAAAATACTTAGACCAGATTTACAGTCAGACTTTCTCGGTGGAATTAAACATCAGAAAATCTCTTAATGGTTAAACTAGGTTTGTGAAATGAGAGTTGTCAGTATATACAGTAAACAACAACTTGGCTAAGATAAACTTCAGAAAGTAGATGGCTTATCAGTTATAATCTGAAATTGTCTACCTTTGTACCTTCTGTTTCTTTCAATAAGCATGGTTTCAACACTACGAATTTTTTATTAGTCACAGGAAGGCATTTCAGTACTCATGCAGCCGGAATAAGAACATGAAACATTTCTTCCTAATCCATTTTCAAAGAACCATTTACTGGTTAAAAGTTCTGTCTGCTTAAAGAATTAACCTTTTTGTTTTAATCCAGCATTCATTAGAAATTCTTTATTTAGTATATTCTCATTCAGAGAATAAACTTGATAAGCATTTAAAATATTGTTTTTATAAGTTATTTGATTAGCAGAGTTATAAATACAAAAGGAAAAGGATTACCAGAAATAAAACATTATTTCTAACAAAGCATCATGAAAATTTTGATTATTTAAAAACCCTAGTATCTTACAAGTTTTGCATATATGCTTTTTAGCTCTTTGGAGCCCTCTACCAATAAGGCACCTGCAATAGGTAAGATTTTGCTACTGTAGACTTGGGAAACTATTCTTAGTGTTGTGTTGTTGCTTTTCTGACAAAGTACACATTAAGACAAACATATACATTTGTGTACCTCCTAAATTTCATGTAAAAACACTATGATTGAAGTGATAGACTCGAATAACAGCATGTATCCTGGACAAGGACAGTTCAGAGGCATAGTGCATACCTCGCATGCGGGAAGTCTGGCCATGGCATGGCTCCCCAAGCACCACCAGAAGCAGCACACAGGAAGTTGCACCTGAGCACTGCTGGATGTGGCCCCCAAACAAGAAAATATAATTCCTTAGATTCACCACTCCAGTCTCTTACAAATTATTTCAACTTCATAAAAATAGGAATTGTTAAACACAGGTGGAAATGGCATCTGACTTTATGAAACTTACACTGGAACTACATGAAATTCCAATCACTGTGATGGAGCTATTTTGTTACTGGGCAACATCCCCTCACTGCATAAACAGCAACTAGCTATTGATGTCTTAAAGTCAAACTAATGATTGGTTTTGAGGATCAGCATTGTCCATTATCCTATCTGAGTTAAAATGGAGGACACTTCCTGTCTCTTGGTTCCTTTTAGCTTATTGGAAAATAAGCACTGGAAAGAAGAAAGATGACTGAATGAAATAGAATCTCCTAGGCGTTCATCTCCTTACTGCAGATATCCTCGAGAATAGGAGCCTCTGACTCAGCCAGATTACAACAGGTTCCAAGTCACTGTCCTGTAAGGTTCCCATGCTTCTGAAGAACATCATGCAAACTTCTTTTTGGTGGCTGTGAACCTTTCCATGTACTAAAAACAAAAGCAAAAAAAAATTTTTTTGTATGAGCAACTAACAGCCTGTATCTTTTTTTTTTTTAAGGTAAAGTAAAGGTAAAGGCCCTCCCGTTGATCATCGATTTGCTCGAGCGGGCCCAGTAACGTCTCCATTGGAGACTTTGTTGTTACTGTGTTTGGCATATCGAATACGTCATGGGGAGCTTTCCAGGCTCTGCCGTGCGGGCGAGATACTCCCGGTATCTTGCCAGGCTCTCCGAGAGGGGCGGAGGAATTGAACTCGGGTCGGCCATGTTGGCTGCGTGCAAGGCAAACGCCCTACCGCTGTGCTAATTGTTATTAGTGAAACACCATGAGGTACAGTTGTAGTCTTACAAACTTTTGTGCTTGGGTTTCAGTCATACAATGATCGAGTACCCATCCCTCCACCAGTGCCCATTCTCTACCACCACTAATCCCAGTATCCCTCCCACCCCCCATGCCCATCCCCTCCTGCCTCTGTGGCAGGGCACTCCCTTTTGTTCTTTCTCTCCTTTTGGGTGCTGTGGTTTGCAAAAGAGGAATTGGGTGGCAATCATGTTCAGTCTATGATCTACTTTCAGCATGCATCTCCCATCCTGGACGGATCTTCCCAACACCCTTTATTTGGTGCTCCCTTCTCTATCTGAGCTGCCTTTACCCCCAGAGTGTGCGGCTGGCCTCCAAGCCTTGGAGTGAACCTCCTGGTATTTATCTCGGCTATTCTTGGGGGTTAGTCTCGTATTTTGTTACTTTATGTTCCCCAGATGAATGCAATCTTTCTATGTCTGTCCCTCTCTTTCTGACTCATTTCGCTTAGCATGATACTTTCCCTGTAGTACCACTTGTGTGTAAATTTCATGACTTCATTCTTTCTAACAGCTACATAGTACTCCACTGTGTAGAAGTACCAAGGTTTCTTTAACCAGTCATCTGTTCTCGGGCACTCAGATTTTTTCCAGATTCTAGCTACTGTAAACAGTACAGCCTGTATCTTAAGCTTTGATTCTTTTAAAAATTTTATTTATTTATTTATTTGGCTTTTTGGGCCACACCCAGCAATGCTCAGGGGTTACTTCTGTCTCTGCACTCAGGAATGACTCCTGGCGGTGCTTGGAAACTATATGGTATGCCAGGGATCGAACCCAGGTTGTCCGTATGCAAGGCAAATGCCCTAACCGCTATACGATCACTCTGACCCCTGATTTTTTTTTTTAATTTAGGTTTTGATAAAATATTTCCTTCATTTCCCCTAAAACCTTTTTTTTTTGTTTTTTGTTTGTTTTTTGGGTCACACCCAGTGATGCACAGGGGTTACTGCTGGCTCTGCACTCAGGAATCACTCCTGCCATGCTTGAGGGACCATATGGGATGCTGGGAATTGAACCATGGTTGGGCACATGCAAGGCAAATGCCCTACCCGCTGTGCTATTACTCCAGCCACCCTAAAGAACCTTTTTAGGGGAGGAGGTAGGTCACACCTGGCAGTGCTCAGGGATCACTCCTGTCGGGACAATATGGGGTACCAGAGATTGAACCTGGGTCAGCTGCATACAAGGCAAGCTCCCTGCTCACTGTACTATCTCTGAATTCCATATTTATATTTTTAAAAAATTGATAGAACTTTATAGTGAAAGTTGCCTTGGATAATATCATTTGGCTTATTCTTAAAACCCACCTTCAAAATGGGGAACAAACACATCCTGTTAGCGGGATTATACATTTTAGCATTTTCCGGCTGTGAGCATTCATATGCAGAAGTGCCCTAAAACATACCTTATCATAACCTTCCAGTTCTCGAAGTGCTTTTATTTCAAACAGGTTGCCTTCCACTGCAAGCAGACAGATCTGGGAATCACTGAGGATGCTTTGTGGAAGCATGCTGAGCTCAAGGCAGTTCTCTTCCAGGCGAAGAACTTTAAGGCGAGGACAGCGAGATATCTTTATTGAGATCTGAGATATCTATTGAGTCCCACAACAAAAAATAGGAAGATGTACAAGCATTAAAATGGTGATTTATTTATTTTTACTAAATTTAAACAAAAACCTTGACAAGTTTGTCCTGGTTCTTCTTCTTTTTCCGCCTCCATTTTCTCACTACCTACTCATTCTAGAAGCATCTGTTATGCAGCTTGTTATTACTCCTCCACTTTTTCTGAAAAAAGTTTTTGAGGGTTACTCGTTGATTTTTTGAAAACAATATGTTCTGTTTATGAAAATGCTGCTCTTTGTGAAAAGCTTAAGACTAACATATTTCAAGAAAAGTTACCTGTAGCCCACTACCATAAACATTTTGGTATTTACTGTCAGTCTTTTATGTATGACTACTGTCAAATTCAATGTCCTCACTCCCAGTTTCATTTGTACAAATCTAACCTATCCTTAAAACTCTCTTCTAAATTTTGGATTTTTCTATCTTTTGAGTCATTTATGCTTTGTTCTTTCCGCAGGCATTTTCTTAGCAGCATTTCCCTAATTCTAAATTTCCTTCTAGAAAGCGCATTCATTTTCCCTTTTTGAAAGTGTTTTGGGCCACACTCAGGCAATGCTCAGGCCTTACTCTTGGCTCTACACTCAGGAGCTGATCCATTCTGATTCCTGTCTATCACGGGGGGGGGGGGGGGGGGGGGGGGGGGGGGGGGGGGGGAAGGTAGGAAGGGAAGGAGGGAGGGAGAGGAGAGGGAGGAAGGGAGAGGAGGGAGGGAGAGGAGAGGGAGGAAGGGAGAGAGTGGGAGGTAGAGTGGAGAGAGAGAAGTTAAAGCACTTACCTTACACGTGGCAGACCCTGGTTCAATCCTGACACAATATGCCCCCTAACGATACTAGTGAGCTTAGAGCCAGAAACCCTGAGTACGATGGTGTGTGCCACTTCCCACACACACACAAAAAATCTATTGTGTTAATACCTCAAAATATGGGTTAAGAGAAAGAGCACAGCAGGTAAAGCTCTTGCCTTGAATGAAGACAAGCCGTATTTGATCCCAGCATCTCATATGGTCCCCCAAGTCCCACAAGGACTGATTCCTGAATGCAGAGCCAAGAGTAAGCCCTGAGTATTGCCAGCCGTGGCCCCCAAACAAAAGAAAAACCAAAAAGACTTCAAAATGTGTCGACATTCATAGCCATACACCTCAATCCCACTATGTTTACATTTTTTGAGATTATTTTTTCCAGTGCTGAGGATCAATTCCAGGTCTCATGCACACAAGACATGTATTTTACCACTGAGCCATATTACTCCCCATTTCTAATTTTTAGTGAAACATTTTCTTTCAGATGGCCCATCATCATAATCCATCATGTCATTCTCAGGTCCTAAAGCACAAATCGAAGCAATTTTCTTTGACTCACCCATCTCTTTTGTCTTTTAAATGCTCCAAATAACCAAGTTACGTTTACTTTGTCTACTATCATCTCAGACCATCACCTGGGCTTTTTGTTAGAAATGCAAATTCTCAAAACCTACTCCTGACCTACAGAATCAGAAACAATGAGAATATATAGAGATATTCTAATACACACAAAACAGTGAAAGCCTAGGTGAATGTCTAGGTAAATGTGCAATGAGTGCTCAGTACTTACTGCTTAATTATTTTTTCCCTCCAAGTTCACAACTGCTTTCCAAAAAAAAAAAACCCAGAAAACAAAAGCCCTCAAAGATATCTAAATATAGTGTTGAAGGAATGTTGTGTGAGGTAATTTTGTTGTTCTTTTTTGTTTTGGGGTCACAGCTGGTGGTGCTCAGGAGTTACTATTGACTCTGCAATCAGAAATCACTCCTGGCAGGGTTGGGAGACCATATGTGATGTTGGGGAGTTGAACCTGGGTTGGCTGTGTGCAAGGCAAGCACCTTAACCACTGTACTATCTCTCTGGTTCCTAGGCCACTTTTTTTTGTTTGTTTGTTTGTTTGTTTTGCTTTTTGGGTCACACCCGGCAATGCACAGGGGTTACTCCTGGCTCTGCACTCAGGAGTCACTCCTGGCGGTGCTCAGGGGACCATATGGTATGCTGGGAATCGAACCCGGGTCGGCTGCGTGCAAGGCAAACGCCCTACCCACTGTGCTATCGCTCCAGCCCCAGGGCCACTTTTCTTAAAGATTGAATTTCATCATAATTCTAGATCACTACAATCTAGAATGTTTCTCCTGGGAATATATCCCAGAGAGGCAAAAACATATAGTTGAAATGACATCTGCACTTGTATGTTCATTGCTGCACTGTTCACAATAGCCAAAATCTGGAAAAAACCCGAGTGCCCAAGAACAGATGACTGGTTAAAGAAACCTTGGCACATCTACACAATGGAATACTATGCAGCTGTTTGAAATGATGAAGTCATGAAATTTGCAAACAAGTGGTTCTACATGGAAAGTATCATGCTATGGGAAATGAGCCAGAAAGAGAGGGACAGACATAGAAAGACTGCACTCAATCTGGGGAATATAAAAGTAACAGAATGGAAGATGAACACCCAAGAATAGTCGAGATAAGTACCAGGAGGTCTGCTCCACGGCTTGGAAGCTGGCAGCACAGGCTGGGGGAAAAGGCAGCTCAGATAGAAAAGGGAACACTAAGTAAAGGGTGTTTGGAGGACTCGCTCGGGATGCAAGATACGTGCTGAAAGTTGATTATAGACCGAACACAATGGCCACTCAATACCTCTATTGCAAACCACAACATCCTAAAGGAAAGAGAGAGCAAAAGGGAATGCCCTGCCACAGAGGTGGGGTGGGGTGGGGGAGATGAGGGGGTGGGAGGGCTACTGGGTTTATTGGTGGTAGAGAATGGGCACAGGTGGAGGGATGGGTACTTGATCATTGTAAAACTGAAACCCAAGCACGAAAGTTTGTAAGTCTACAACTGTACCTCATGGTGTTTCACTAATTAAAAAAAAAAAAAACTAAAGGCCACCTTTCTCTGTGTAATGAATGCTTCACCCTTTGTACCTATGTCTAGTCCAAATATTTCTCTAGATAAAAACCAGAATTTCTTGGCAAAAAAGCACATGAGAAAATGCTCTACATCATTAATCATCAGGGAGATGCAGATCAAAACCACAATGAGATACCATCTCACACCTCAGAGACTGGCCCACATTCAAAAGAACAAAAGCAACCAATGCTGGCGTGGATGTGGCGAGAAAGGGACACTCCTTCACTGTTGGTGGGAATGTCCACTGGTTCAGCCCTTCTGGAAAACAGTATGGACGATTCTCAAAAAATTAGAAATTGAGCTCCCATTTGACCCAGCAATACCACTCCTGGGAATATATCCCAGAGAGGCAAAAATGTATAGTCGAAGTGACATCTGCACTTGTTTGTTCATTGCAGCACTCTTTACAATAGCCAGAAACTGGAAGAAACCTGAATGCCCAAGAACAGATGACTGGTTAAAGAAACTTTGGTACATCTACACAATGGAGTACTATGTAGCTCTTAGAAAAGATGAAGTCATGAAATTTACATACAAGTGGTACAATATGGAAAGTATCATGCTAAGCGAAATGAGTCAGAAAGAGAGGGATAGACATAGAAAGATTGCATTCATCTGGGGGATATAAAGTAACAAAGTATGAGATTAATACCCAAGAATAGCTGAGATCAGCACCAGGAGGATTACTCCATAACTTAGAGGCCAGCCGGGTATCCTAGAGGAAAGGGCAGTTCAGATAGAGAAGGGAGCACCAAATAAAGGATGTTTGGAGGATCCTCCCAGGAGGGGAGATGCATGTCGAAAGTAGACTATGGACTGAACATGTTTGCCACTCAATGCCTCTTTTGCAGACCACAACACCCAAAAGGAGAGAGAGAACACAGGGGATTGCCCTGCCACAGAGACAGGGGGGATGGGGGGATGGGGGTGGGAGGGATATTATCCATGGTGGTGGAAGATGGGCACTGGTGGAGGGATGGGTACCTGATCATTGTATAATTGAAACCAAAGCACAAAAAATTGTAAATCTACAACTGTAAAAAAAAATAAAATAAAATAAAGGGAAAAAAAATTTAAAAAAAAAACCAGAATTTCTAACAATAGTAACAATTTCAAAATACTATAATTAAAGCTTTCCAAATGAAAGGAGCTGTCTCCAGAAAGTTGCTAAGTTTTCACCCAAAGCAGTAAATATATTTAGCAAAGATATCAAAAAAAATTAAGATGCAACACAGCATAAAAATTTAAGCCTCTTTACTCCTATCAGTAAGGTTTGAGGTACATACTGGGCTAGAAAGATAGTACATCGGGTAGGGCACTTTACCTTGCACACTCCCAACATACATGTGACCCCTAGCACGACATATGATCTCATATGATCTGGAAAACCCCAACAGGAGTAAGCCCTGAGCACTGCCAAATATGGCCCCAAAACTAAAAGAAAAAACAAAAGACTTAGGCATACCAGAAGATGATCTCAAGAACTCTTCAAGGTATGTGAAACATTTTAACATTTTTTGTTTTTTGTTTGCTGTGCTGAGGGTTTATAGCTCCTCACTCAAGGATCACTCCTGGCAATGCTCAGAGGACCATATTGGGGTGCTGAGGTAAAATGTATGTTGGGTGTGTGCAAGACTAAGTGTCCTGCCCACTGTACTATCTCCCTGTGAAAGGCAAGCACCCTGCACACTGTACGATAGTTGGCTCTGGCCCCAACATTTAACTTTTTTTAAAATTTTGGCTTTTGGGTCACACCTGGCAATGCTCAAGGATTATTTCTGGCTCTGGACTCAGAAATTACGACTGGCAGTGCTCACGGGACTATATGGGATACCGAGAATCGAACCTGGGTTGACTGCGTGAAAAGTAAATGTCCTACCTGCTGTACTATATCACTCTTGCCCACCAACATTTTAACTTTTAATATCTCACTGTGATCCATCCTATCCTCAAAAAGTATCAACACAACAAATATCCAGTGTCCCAACTAATGCCATGGTATTTTGGCTTTGAAATTAGCATGGTCCACATAATGAACATAACCAGATTCATGACTTCAGTTTTAGGAGCAAGAAGTTATTGAAAAGGCAATGAACCCAAATATACGCTATGGAGGGGGAAAGCTCACAGACCTGATTCTGATTGAGGTTGAGCTCAATCACCTGAAGATCCCCAATGATGTCAGGTATGCTGCGAATCTGGTTCTTGGAGAGATCCACTACATCCAGGTGCCGCAGACTACAAAGCTGGGGTGGTAGGGCTCCCAGTTGGTTCCCAGACAGGCTTAGGGTCTTGAGGGCAGAAAGCTGACCAAAGGTTGATGGCAGTTCTCGCAATAGATTGTTATTTAAGCTCAGCATCTCCAGCTTTTTCAGATTGCATAACTCCTCAGGAAGAGCACCTGGCAAAAACAAAAAGAACGTGAATCGAAAGCAACTGAAAAACACTTTATTGAAGCTTATAAAAACTATATAGCTTCCTGCTATGCTTCTTGAAAATATACATAAAGATCCCCATATGTTGTGCTATTTTTTCAACACTCCATTTTTACCAAGATATTCTTCAGGAGGTGAGGAGGCCATCCAAACTCAGAAAACGCACAGTGTGCAAAGGGGCCTCGGCACAATATGACAGCAATTTCAAAGAATATAGAAAGCTTTTGTCTTCCCATTCCATCTGTCATCCTTCTAAATTAGTAGCAAAACTAGATTACATGATATTCCCCGAATCGTCTTGGTTTTCAAATCCAAATTGACCCAGTACCTATCATTAAAACACCAGAGAAAACCTGAAGATGTAATTACGAGACAGAAAGCTTTAGGGACACAGGCAATCCTCTGCCTCTAGGGTTCTCTGGACGTTTCATAACAACAAAAATCAGCTTGTAAGAGAAAACCATCCTTCTCAACAGAGGCTCTGTAGCAAAAGCTTCCCGGGCGCAACAGCCGTACTCAGTTTGTTGCTGTTCAAAGAGAGGCTCTTCAGCAGAGTGAACTTCCCTATGATCGCCGGCGGCAGGCTCTCTATCTTGTTGTTGGACAAGTCGATGGTCCTGAGATTGCTCGTCAGCTTCTGCAACTCTGAAGGGAACTGGAGAAAGGGGTTCACAGCGTGGAGAATCCCTCACCAATGATCTTCACAGCCCCCCCCCCCCCGCCGCCATCCCCGCCGGCTCTATCCCTTTAAATTTCCAGGTCGGGTCCCCCTCTACCCCCAAACCCCCTTTTAGTCTCACCTCGGTCAGCCCACGGTCTTTAAGTTGAAAGACACCAGTTTTCTGCGCCGTTTCCACATGAGCACGGAGGGCACTGTTCCCCATTCTGGCGCCGGACTCAGACCCCTGAGGGAAGGAAGCGAGGCTGTCACTGCTAATCCAGACACCCAGCCACCCCGCTGGCCTCCCGGCTGGGTCTCCTGCCCCAGCTGTCACCTCTTGCGGATCCCTGGGTCGGGGGAGGGCGGGACCAGCTTAAGAGTGGCAAGGCGGAAAGGGAAGAGCTGACAGCCCCACGACCAGGTCGGGCGGGCGCTGCAGCCGTTCGTGAAGCAAGAGCCTCTAGGATCTTACGGCGAAGTGGGAACTGGCCTCCCACCCCGCAGCTCCCAGACCGCCTTGCAGGGCAAGCCCGGGGAGCCGCGCTCGTCCGGGAGGAGCGCGCGGGGCTTCCGCCCCGGAAGACACGCCCCGTGACGTCATCGCGCCGCGCGGCGCCCGCTCGCGGCGGCCCACTTACTCTGGGCGCCACCCGGGCCGGCGGGCCGCGGCCATGGCTGGCGCGAATCCCTGGGACCCCGTCTCGGAGACAAACGCAGCCGGGATGCTGCTGAGCCATTTCAGAGCTTCGGGGACGGTCACTCAGGTGAGTGTGGGGGTCGGCAACGGCGTCATCAAGGGGGTATCCGCGGGAGCCATAGAGGAGGACTGTGAGGTGGTGATGTGGACAACGGAGGGTCCTAGCACGCTGCGGGGACCCACGGCGGTAGGTTCCGCGAGGGCGGCCTGGTTTCAGGGTCGCCTCGGTCGTCTCGTGGGGATAAACCGGACCGTGTTCCCTCGCTTTCCCCAGCCCACCCAGTGACGCTCCTTTCGAATGTACTGGGTGGCGGGGCCGGGAAACGCTGGGGGGCGCTTCACTCGCCGCCCCCAAATCGTGCCGGTTTGCGAGGTACCCAGACGTATTCCCAAACGGTGCGCCGGGTACAAGAGAGAGTCAGGCAAGTACGCGACTTTAGAGACCCCCCCCCAAAAAAATCCAAAAGTATTGGTGAAAAAGACCCCGAGAGACTTTGAAATAAATGGAGAAATAATAGGTAAGGCGTTCTTTTTGAGGGGTGGGGGAGATTAGCCCGAGAGGTGATGGTTTTAGATTGGGCAGAAAGCACTTACAGAGACCTAAGGGAAGTAAGCTGAGAGGAAGAAATGGATGATGGGAGGGAATGATAGGTTATGAGTGGTAGAAGTGACAAGGGAATGGGGAAAGTGAGACTTCGTGCGAAGAAGAGAGAAAATTTGAAATGGAGGAAATTGATCAATTTTACTGAATAGGAAACAGAAAAGTAGAAAGGCGAAAATCAGTGAATAGCAGTATGAACTTCATGGAAAATTTCTGGAAACAAAACCTTCCAAAAGGAAGATTTTTTAATAGTTTGTGATTAGAGAATGCTAAGGTGAAGAAACCAGCACCTCTGGGTACCAAGAAACTTGACAGAGTCTTCTCAACTTAGGGAGGTGAAAAATGGGTCTTGTAGTGCCCATTTCTTGACACACTGTATCATCTCTAAAATGAACTGTGATACTGTAACACTTTCTTCAGCCAGTTCAAGCTCCTGTTGAAAAGCCTTCAGATTGCTTGAAGACAGACCTAGTGACCAGGTTTATGGATTTGGTGGGAAGAAGGGAGTGAGAGAGGTAATAATGAGTTCATGGAAAAATAAGCAAAACACACCCACAACATATTCTCAGTTCTTACCTTCCTGGCTTCTTTGCGTGTTCTTCCTGTTATGTTGCCCATTACCCTAATTTGTATTGTCTAGTTATAAAGTAATTTGGTAAGCTCCTACAGTAAGACATCAGGAATGTATTCTTCTAAAGAATACTGATAGGGGAAAAGGATTCCTAAACTAACAGTATCCAAAATTTTAGGCATTAATGAACAATCTGTTGAATTGGATTGTTTTGGAGAGGACCTTTCAAGTGTTCTTCAAGAAAGGTTGTTACTTTCTTGGTAGCACTGTAGCAGTGTCCTCCCATTGTTCATCAGTTTGCTCCAGCGGACACCAGTAACATCTCCATTGTGAGACTTGTTGTTACTGTTTTTGGCATATTGGATAAGCCACAGGGAGCTTGCCAGGCTCTGCTGTGGGGGCAGGATACTCTTGGTAGCTTTCTGGGCTCTCCAAGAGGGACGGAGGAATTGAACCCGTGTCAGTCGCATGCAAGACAAAGGCCCTACCCGCTGTGCTATTGCTCCAGCCTGAGTGAATTATAAATTTTTATTAAAGCTGTCTCTACTGGCAATAAATAAGATAAAAAAAATTTGGACCAATAAAACTGAATTGACTGTTTTCTGATTTGTCTGCAATTCAATCTGTGTCCTGTCCTCCTCTTTGCCATGTTCAGTGTGGTTTGTGTTGAGGGGTTTCACCCAACTACAAAAGCAAACACAATATCCCTTTGAATTATCTACCTGAACCCTTTCCTTTTATTGTTAATTTATTTTTGATTTTGGGGTCACAACCAGTGGTTCTTGGGGGGACCATATGGTGGTGGTGATCAAACCTAGGACTCTTACACACAAAGAATGTGCTCAGCTTCTAGATTGGGCCCCTCTCTGGTCTAACCCTGCCTTTCTTTCACTATGTAATCCTTTGGTAATATTGTCAGAACAATTTCAAATAAGCTCCATACTTAGGGATTGCCCCTGGCAACACTTGGGACCCTGCTATGCTGGGGTTTGAACCCAGCCCTCCTATATGTAAAGCATCCTCTTGGCCTATTGAGTTCTCTTACCAACTCCTTTTTTCTTTTCTCTTTTTTTCTTTTTTTAATTTTTATTAGTGAAACACCATGAGGTACAGTTGTAGACTTACAGATTTTTGTGCTTGGGTTTCAGTTATACAATGATCAAGTACCCATTCCTCCACCAGAGCCCATCCTCCACCACCACTAATCCCAGTATCCCTCCCACCCCCATCCCCTCTATCCCACCCTGCCTCTGTGGCAGGGCATTCCCTTTTGTTCTCTCTCCTTTTGGTTGCTGTGGTTTGCAAAAGAGGCATTGAGTGGCAAGGGACAGACATAAAAAGATTGCATTCATCTGGGGAACATAAACCAACTCCTTTTAATTTTAATTTCTTTCCGTCTTTTTTTCTCTTCCCCTTTCCCTTGGTTTTGTTTGTTTGTTTGTTGGAGGGGGGGTAGTTTGTCACTTTTTGTGGATTTTTTTTTTTTTTTTTTTTTTTTTACTTTTAGGGTCATAGTTGGTGATGCTCAGGGTTACTCCTGGCTCTGTACTCAGGAATTACTTCTAGTGGTGCATGAAGGACCATATGGGATGCCTGGGATTGAATCTGGTCAGCCACTTGCAGAGCAAATGTCCTACCTGCTGTACTATCACTCTGACCCAAGGTTTGCAATTTTTTGGTTTTGGAGCCAACACCCAGTTGTGCTTAGGGCTTACTCCTGCTCTGTGCTCAGGGATCACTCTTGGTGGTACTCAGGAGAACATATTTGATGTTGAGAATGAAACTCTGGTCTTCTGCATGCAAGTAAAGTACTTTATTCACTATACTATTTCTTAGGTCCCTATCTTGATACTTTGTCTTCATCAAAGAACTTGTTTTATTTTTCTTTAAATCTTGCGTTGTTTAATCCCAAGCTACCTGAGCATGGCCAAGGTGTAGCTCTGATGGCCCTCAACCATATTGGGTCTGAGCACTGAGCCTTCAGGTTCACACAGTAAGGCCAAGTATGACCGGGAGTGGACCACAGGCCCTTAAAATATGCTGGGGAATCCCCCTCCCCCACAAATAAGAAATAGGTGTTCAGGAAGATAGCTCAAAGGGCTCAATGCATACTTTTCCATCTGTTAGATTTAATCCTTGGCAGCACCTGGTCCCCTGAACATCACCAGGCGCAACCTCAAGCACAGAGCCAAGAATAGTCCCTGAGCACTGTCAGGTATGACTCCAAAACCAAAAAAATTGTGTTGTTGTTTTTATTTTGGTTGTTTTTAGGGCCACACCTGGCCATGCTTAGAACTTACTCCTGGGTTGGGCTGGAATGATAGTACAGCGGGGAGGGTGTTTGCCTAGCATGCAGCTGACCTGGTTCAATCCCTGTCATCCTGTATGGTCTCCCAAGCACTTCCAGGAGTAATTCCTGAGTGCAGAGCCAGGAGTAGCCCCTGAGCATTGCTGGGTGTGATCCAGTAAGGGGGAAATAAAACAACTTCCTGATGTAATGCAGAGATCAATCCTGATGAGGTCAGGGGACCACATGGGATACCTGGTATTAGGCAAACCCCCTACTCAGTGTACTATCTCACACCAACCCCCTGGCCAGATTTTTAAGTGAGACATCAGTTTAATAAGAAAAGAGAATTACACATCATTACTGTTGTACTTTGTACTTCATCTTTCAGGAGAAATTGTTGGACCTGTTATATGCTGAAATTTTAGACCCATGAACATTATGTTCCAGTCACACATAAACGTTTGTTTACGTATTGTTGTTTCCTCTGTTCTCCTATAGGAGATGTTAGATATAGCTAAGAAGCCAGTTTCTTGCTTTGAGAACTTCTACAGACAACAGCAAATTGCAGATATTAGAGCTGAAATTGACCACGTAAGTTATTTTGGAAATTTTACTTTGTACTTTCATCATAGGAAAAAACAATTTTATCCAACAGCAAATCTCTCGGACTTAGGGTAGTATCTAGGAATAGTTAAATAGGTTTTACTTTAGTAGTTCATAGTAGTGGTAATAGTAATAACTAGTAGTAGCATCAGTAGCAGTAACAGGACTAGAACACCAATACGAAAAACTTCAGTGGGGGCCAGAGCGATAGCACAGATTAAAATTTTTGGTAGCCACACTTTATAAAAGAAAAAGATACAGGTAAAATATAGCATTAATGATGCCTGCTCTTGGGGCTGGAGGTTAGGGTACATCTATTGGGGCAGGAGTTTATAGTACTTCATTTAAGGTGCTTGCCTTGTACATGTTTTACCTGGGTTCAACCCCCAGCATCCCATATGGTCCCCTAAGCACCGCCAGAAGTAATTCCTGAGTGTTGAGCCAGGAGTCTGAGCATCATTGGGTATGGCTGAAGAATAAAACAAAAAAACTCAAGTAAATCCTCTGGGCGTATATGCCCACTTTGGCAGCACACATACTAAATTCCCCTGGGTATTTAATAAATCATTTTCCACCCACACTTAATTATTTTTAGGTAAAAGACTATTTGTAGAGTTGGGGGGTGGGAGGAACACTGGTGCTGGGAAGTGTGCACTGGTGGAGGGATGGATATTGGACTGTTGTATGGCTGAGATCCAATTAAGAGTGGCTTTTTGATGGTCTCTCACAGTAATTCAGTAAAAAGTTTAAAAATAGAGATCCCCAACTAAAGGAAAAAGAAAAAAATTTTAATCAAAAATTAAGTCTTTTTCATGCTACTTTCTGAGAGAGGTAAATATTATTTTTTATTCCTGATGCAGAAAGACCTAGAAATTGAACTACTCAGACTAGAAAAAGATTCCATAGATGTTGTTCATCCTTCCTTTCTAGGTAAGTGTTTTGATTAAGTGGATTATTGGAACTTCAGTTTTCTTGGATTATATTAAAAATCAGGCAGTAGGACTCAATGCCTCTCTGGCAAAACACAGTACCCAAAAGAAGGGAGAGAGAACAAGGGGGAATGCCCTGCCACAGCGGCAGGGTGGGACGGGGGTGGGGGGGGGTGGGAGGGATGCTAGGACCCGTGGTGGGGGAGGATGGGCACTGGTGGAGGGATGGGTACTTGATCATTGTATAACTGAAGCCCAAGCACAAAAATTTATAAGTCTATAACTGTACCTTATGGTGTTTCACTAATAAAAAAAAGATTAAAAAAAACAAAAAACAACAAAAAAATAAAAATGCAGCTCCATTATATTACATTTTGAAACTATTTTTATGTTAATTGATGTTGATTACCCCAATTAATAAATTTCCTTAGTCAAATTAAAAAAATCAGGCAGTAGGGATGGAGTGATAGCACAGCGGTAGGGCGTTTGCCTTGCGCGCAACCAGCCCGGCAGAGCTGGATTCGATTCCTCCACCTCTCTCAGAGAGCTCGGCAAGCTACTGAGAGTATCTCACCCGCACAGCAAAGCCTGGCAAGCTACTCGTGACATAGTCAATATGCCCAACACAGTAACAACAAATCTCAAAATGGAGACGTTATTGGCCCCGCTCGAGCAAATCAATGAACAACGGGAGGACAGTGACAGTGTCACAATTTTTCCAAGCATTGCCTCATTGCTTACAAAGTCTATTTATGTGTAAATAGAAGTCATGTTGGCTAGTACAAATAGTATAGAAAGTGATTAACTTGGGACCTTCTTAAAGCAAGGAAAGGTTGAAAGAAAGAGGCCGAGGAATTTTCCAGATATACTAAAGGGAACATGATAGTTAAAGCACAGTGTGATCATGAATTAAATATTTGATTAAAAAGTTTTTTTCATAAGAGACACTTGGAGATGTTTAAATATTGGCTATATTAAGTATTGATAGTATTGTACTAATGATTTTTTTATACTTATATAAGAAAATGTTCCTATTTAATGAAACATATGCAGTTTAGGGTCAAGGGTCATTATTCTGTAACTTATTATCACTTGGATCAGCAAAACACTGAAAAAAGCCCTTTTTTGTGTACATAGAAAAAAAGTAAAAACAATCACTTGAAAATATTAACAGTAGCTAAGTTTAGGTAAAAATATATATAGCATCTTGGGGCTAGGTAGTACAGGGGACTACTTGCCTTTCATCCATCCAATCCTAATTTGATCCTTCGCACTGCATGTGGTCCCCGGAGCATCACCTGCAGTGATCCCTGAGCACAGAGCCATGAAGTAAGTGCTGAACCCCACTGGGTGTGACCCAACAACTCTCCCAAAATAAAATTATTGAACTGGTAGTTTAGTTGAAAAACATAGGACTAGGAGAGAGTTTAGGGGCTAAGATGCTAGCCTTACACACAGCCAACTCCACTTTGATCCCCAGTCTTTATATGGTCCCCTGAGTACTTCCAAGAGTGACCTCTGACAATCGGAAATATTCCCTAGGGGGTACTGTACCACCAGCAGGTCAACCTATACCTGCAGGGCAAGAGTATCAGCAGCCTTATGGTGCCTTCAGGCTTCCTGATACCCCAAATAACTGCTGTGCTTTTGGTCGTACTCCAACAACTTGGGAATAAATTTCCTGAGAAATTAAATGGTCAAAAGTTAGGTATATGGGAGTCACACCCACAAATCACCTCTCCCTCAGCTATATAAGCTCATTTTTCAGACTTGTGTCAGAGACCCATAAATAAATCTTGAAAGAGATCAAAAGCTACAGTCATTCTTGGACCTGTGCAAAACTGAGCAGACTCAGTTAAATCAAAGGCGGGAGGAGCGGGTTATCCTCGTACCCGCCCAACCAGAGCCCCTGGCAACTGCTTGCTCCCACAATCCAAAAAATCTGCTGAAAAATCAGGTATACAGGTTTTGTGACTGAAATCCCCAGGCTTTCTCAGGGTCGGGATAGGCTACCTCTCCCCATCTCCTTGTACTTCCGGAAGCCTCAGCAATCATGTCCACCCTTCAGAGCTCCCACACAGTTAAAAAGCTACTCCAGCCTACCATCCTGATAAAAAATACTGAATACCCTGAACAAACACAGTGACCTCTTAGTACCTGTATTACAAACCATAATGCACAAAAATAGAGGGAGGCTGGGGTGGGGGTGAGGTCTTGGGGGATGGTGGGAGGGAAATGGGGGTCATTGGTGGTGGGAAATGTACACTGATGGAGAAATGGGTGTTGACTATTGTATGACTAAAACCCAATGAACAACTTTGTAATGGTCTGTCTCACAGATATTTTTTTAATTTTTTTTTTTTAAATTTCCTGAGCACTGCCATTTCCCCCACTTTTCCTCCCTCTATCCCCTCCCACCGACATGCATAACACAAAACACATACCATAGGTTAATGAATAGGTCGAATTAGTGAATAGGTTAATGGTTATGAGGAATAGGTTAGTGAAACTAGATTTAAGATTGAGATTATTTAGGAGAGAAGTTGAGATTATTTAGGAGGATTACGTTTTGACATTGGTAGTGTCAAACTAGAGCAAAGAGAATTTTTTGTAATGTTAACTAACTTGTCCTGTTGACAACAATAATTAATGTTTTGATTTCTGTAGATCAGAAGTGTCAGAGTTTGCAAAGCATGAATAATCATCTGGAAGCAATTCTGAAAGAGAAGCGGTCTCTTAGGCAAAGACTGTTGAAACCCATGTGTCAGGAAAACTTGCCTATTGAAGCTGTTTATCACAGGTTAGACTGAAACATGGAAGTTAACTGTTACACATATTTTCTGAAGGTAGTTTTGTTTCGACTAGTAATTATTTTATAGCTAATTCATTGAAAAACTTTGGTTAATGTTATTAATGTATATGCTAATGTAAATTATGTAGTATACAATATAAAATGTATAATTTTCATGTATATTATGCATATTAATGTTATTAATTGTGACCTATAAGTCAAAAGAAAGTTCTTTTTTAAATTTTTTTTGTTGTTGTTTTGAGTCACACCCAGCAGTGTTCAGGGCTTGCTCCTGGCTCTGCATTAAGGGATTGTTGCTGGCAGGTTTTGGAGGATCGTATGGGGTGCTGGGCATCATTTTTGCAAGGCAAATGCCCTACCCACTGTACTATTGCTTCAAAAGTCTTTTACTTTTAAAAAAATTAGAACTGTGGTGAAGAGAAAATAGTTTCTTTTGCCCATTGTTTTGGGAGTTATAAATTATGACATTAATGAAAAAAATAGATCCATACCATATGATAACGTGAAAAAATAATTTTCATTATATAACCTGTCTTTAGTAGATAGGCTTTATGAAATAAATTTACTGTTGCATTAATGTTGCCTACATGTAAAAATTTTTGCTTTGGTTTCCCATTTCATGGGATGGATATCTGTTTTGGTGTATTCTATTGCTTTCTTTCTATAGGAGTATTACAACTACCAAATTTAATGAATAAGAATAAAATCAGAAAGGGGGCATCTGGAAACCTGATTGCATTTTTTAGCAGTGCCTGAGGAAATCAATTTCTTTTGCTTAAGTGCCTGATTTTTTAATTAGTAATAAAATAATAGGTGTATATCATTATCAAAATGTTTTAGAATCTATGTAGTATATTATCATCTACTTTATATACATATGTATGTGTGTGTGAAGAACTAGTGAATTTTTGACATTAAAGTGCTACCTACTGTGCTAATGATGCACCTTGCATAGTGATTTCAAAGTATTTGCAAATATGAAGATTCTAGGCTATTTCAATTAAGTACATCTATCCTTGTCTTTACTCTTTGTCAAATATGGGCTACCAGTGTAATAGTATAGAGGGTAAGATGCGGCTTGCCTTGCATGTGGCCAACCCAGATTCGATCCCCGACATCCAGTATGGTTCCCTGAACACCACCAAGGGTGATCCCTGAACACAGAAAAGGAAGCCTTAAGCACTGCTGGGTGTGGCCCCAGAACAAAATAAAACGAAAAAAGGAATAAGTTGACTGGAATGAAATGAGGTTTTATCAAGGGGAAATTTTTTGTTTTGGGTTTTGGACCAAACTTTGCTATACTCAAATTACTCCTGGCTCTGTGCTCAGGAATCACTACTGATGATGGGACCATATGGGATGTCAGAGATTGAACCGGGATCAACTGTGTGCTAGGCATGTACCTTACCCACTGTACTATCTCTTGACCCCCAAGGGAAATTTCTTTATATGAAAAAATAACACCAAGTTTTGTCTAATATTAGGCTGGGTTCCAGCTATGATTGTCTTTTTCTTTTGGTAGAAGCTGGGTATGGCAGAGTTGGGTCACACCTGGCTATGCTTAGGGAACCATATGTGGTCCTAAGGACTGAACCACATTGGTCACATATCAGGCAAATACCTTGGGTTCAGAGTGATATAAAGCAGGTAGCGTTATTGCCTTGCATGTGGTCACCCCAGGTTTGATCTCTGGCATCCTTTATGATACCCCAAACCGTGCCAGGAGTGATCCCTAAGCACCAAGTAAGTACTGAGCACCACCTGTTATGCTCCCCCCAACCCCCAAAATATCAGATGCCTTAATCCCAGTACTGTCTCTCCAGCCCATTATTGTCTTTTCCTGTTTTCTATTTGGATTACAACCCCAGCTTAAAGTGAAATGAAAAAATTTTTTAGATCACCAACACAGGGGCTGGAGCGATAGCACAGCGGGTAGGGCGTTCGCCTTACAAGCGGCCAACATGGCCGACCCGAGTTCAATTCCTCCGCCCCTCTCGGAGAGCCTGGCAAGCTACCGAGAGTATTTGATATGCCAGACACAGTAACAACAAAGTCTCCAATGGAGACGTTACTGGGCCCGCTCGAGCAAATCGACGATCAACGGGAGGGCCTTTACCTTTACCTTTTACCACCAACACAGAAGTTTGTTATTGGTTCATGGGGTTGATTCTGTTATCTCATACTAAAAGTCTTAAAAGGGAAGAAGAGATAGTACAGTGGGTAGATTCTTATCCTACACTGCACGTGGCTGACGTGGCTGACCTTGGTTCCATCCCTGGCACCACATATGGCCCCCCAAGCTCACCAAGCGTGATCCCTGATGAAGAGCCAGAAGAGGGCCCTGAGCACAGCTGGTGTTGCCCAAGGCTCCTCACCGCCCCCCCACAAAAAAAATCTAGAGAGATATCACAGCAGGTAAGATGCTTGCCTTGCATGCAGCTGACCCTGATTTTGATCCCTAAGCACAGTGCTTAGAAGTCCTTAGCATTGCTTTTGCTTAACACTGTGGCTTAAAAACAAAAAATGTGGGAGGATAAAGAAAAGTAGTTAAAGAATAACCAAAGACACAAGAAACAAAAGGCCAGAAGGACTGGTCCTTAGTACAAAGCTTGCCAGAATGGGGGTAGGGAGGTTAGGTCAGAGAAGGACCACTATGACAAAGGCAATGATAATGGGAAGTGATCACTCTGGGCAAGAACTGGGTGCTGAAAGGAGGTAAAGTAATTTCAGTATAGAATTGCAAACCACAATGCCTAAAAGGAAAAAAAGGAAAATGTCTGCCCTAGAGGCAGGCTGGGGGCGGTGGGGTGTGGGGAAGGAGGTGTGGGAGAGACATTGGGGACATTGGTTTGGTGGAGGATGTAGACACAGGTGAAGGGATGAGTACTTGCCATTGTAGAACTGAAAATCATAAACAACCTTGTAACTTTATATCTCATGGTGATTGAGTAAATATATGTTTTAAGTGGAAGGAATGGAACACAAAATAACTAAACCAAAAATAACTGCTTTATGGATTTGAGCCCTGGCGCTACCTAAAAAAAGTTTGAATTTTCCTTCTCTTTCAGATACATGGTCCATTTGTTGGAGTTGGCAGTGACTTTCATTGAGAGATTAGAATCCAATCTTGAAACTATTAGAAATATCCCTCATTTAGATGAAAATCTAAAGAAAATGGTAAGTATTTTAATACTAGCATTTAACTATGATATCGCATTATTTCTTTTCACATTACATGTGATGTTTTTAGGATTTTTTAAAAAATTTTTTGGTTTTGGGGATTATTCACAGTGGTGTGCTACGAGATACTCCTGGTTCAGTGCTCAGGCATTGCTTCTGATGCTGCATTGGGAGCCATTTGGTGCTGGGGATTGAACCAGGGCTAACCACATGCAAGTCAAGCACCTTAACCTCTATACTCCCCACTGTTTTTTCTTAAAGAAGTCATAAAGATACATAAAGAGGTCAAGTTTGGTCCTCAGCACCACATGGACCCTTGAATACTTACTAGGCCACTGGAGCGCAGAGCTTGCAGTAGTCCAAAAGCACTACAAATTATGGTTCAAATCCCACCTACCCACCCTTCTCCCCCAAAATATGAAGGGCCAGAGAGATAGAGCAGGTAGGGCACTGGCCTTGCATGTGGTTGACCCAGTTTAATCCCTACAAGCCATGTGGTCTCCAGATCCTGTCAACAGTTGATTACTGAGCACAGAGCCAGAAGTAGACCCACACCATTGGGTGTGACCCAGAAATGGAAACAAAAATGGACATCCTCATGGAAATTTCTAACAGACTTGTTTGGAAAGAAGTTAGATTCAACAGTTTACATTGACAATTACAGTTTACATTATCTACATTGAGGTGGTAATTGAAAATGAAAGGGAGGCGAACTCAGTGTACAATGAATTGTGTACTGGGCTTGGAAAATAGCTCAAGAGGCTGAAGCACGTGGTTTGTGGGAGACTTGGGTTCAGTCCCTACTGTATTTTCCCCTGAGTCAGCCAAGAGTAATCCAGGACTGGAGCAATAGCACAGGGCATTTGCCTTGCACACAGCCGACCTGGGTTCGATTCCCTGCATCCCATACAGTCCCCCAAGCACCACCAGGAGTAATTCCTGAGTGCAGAGCCAGGAGCAACCCCTATGCATCTTTGGGTGTGACGTAAAAAAAAAAAAATGGAGGGGGGGAGTAATCCCTGTACATTGCCAGATGTAGCCCAAAACAAAAATTTTTTAAAAATCATGGAAGGGAATGTAGGTACCATAAGAAACAGAAGATGCAGTTTCAAGGAGCTTATGTATTAAGAGTGTAAAAATGTCAGGTGTTAACTTTTGGTATAACCAGTTGTGATATAATAACTGTGGATTACTGACAGCTCTAATTTCTCTCCTGTCTTTTCCTTTCAAATGTTACAGAGCAAATCTTTGGCAAAAACGAATATTTTGGTGACTAAGACAGAAGAACTGGCAGAGAATATACTTAAATGGCGAGAACAACAAAAGGAAATTTCTTCTTGTATTCCCAACATATTCACTAAAGAAAGTCACCATCATAAATGTATTACAATGTCTTCTTTACCATTTACTTCTGAAGTTCTTTTCCAAAATATTCATGTCAAGTGATCATCAGCTATTTATTTTTGCTTAATTATACGTAATCATATGAAATGCATTTCTAGTCAATTATAATAAGTGAGTTGGTTTTGCTTTCTGCCAACAATACTGAATGTTGCCTCTTTATGTTGAAATACTATGATTCCATGTTTATTAAGACAAAAATGAGTTTTCCTTTATTTTTCATGTATTTCCATTCCACTTTTCTTTTCGCAGAGAGGTGGGAGTTGGGGCCATGTCCAGCAGGGCATAATTATGGTTTACTCTTGGAAGTGCATGGGGACTGTATTTGGTGCTAGGGATTGAACTGGGGTTGTCTGCATGCAAGGCAAGAACCTAAACCCCTGGATTATTTCTTTGGCTCTCATTCCACTTTTCAGTGAATCCAGTGGGGATCTAATATAACTTTGCACCAGAGTTATACTGCTCAGTAGTAGAGCAATTGTCTTGCATGTATAAGGCCCATGTTCAATCCCCAGCACTGCTCAGTGTACATAGATACTTGTCACGGTCACGGTCCTCCCGTTGTTCATCAATTTGCTCGAGCGGGCCCAGTAACGTCTCCATCATGAGACTTGTTGTTACTGTGTTTGGCATATCGAATACGTCATGGGTAGCTTGCCGGGCCCTCCGAGAGGGGCGGAGGAATCGAACTCGGGTCAGCCATGTTGGCCGCTTGTAAGGCAAATGCCCTACCGGTGTACTATCGCTCCAGCCCATAGATACTTGTATATATGTGTATATACATAAATAAATGTATAGAGACAGACCATTTGTTTACTTTTATTATTACTCCCACACACACACTTTATTTAAACACTATGTTCTACAAAATTGTTGATGATGGTTTGTTAAAAAATATTCAGTATTCCAACACCAGTCCCACAACCCTTCCCTCCTCTATTGTCTCCATTTTCCCAACCACCCCTCGAGCTTGCCCCTACCTGTAGCAGGCCAACAACTTATTTTATATTGTTTATTACTCCTAAATGGCTAACAGAATGATCAAAAACTGTTTCCAGAGAAGGAAATTTGTGAAAGTTGTTGTATCTCACCATGGGAACATTAAGTCATTGTCTGAGGTTTTACTTAGCTGTTGCAAGTTAACCTTCTGTATTAATGTTTTTGTTAGTTGAGATGGGTTGGTTTCTATGTTACATTCCCTCCATCTACTTACTGAGATTGTCAGTGTTGTACATATTGGACACGTCACTCCAGAAAATTCAGAATTCTTAACTGGAAAGTCCAGCAGGAGTTAAATTTCTAAGTAGGCAGTGGCTTTGGGTTGAAACTAACCAACTACCCTCCAAGAGTGCCTTGGAGGTGTTACCTAGACTGAGAAATTTTTGCAGCTAGGTAACCTCTTTCAAGATTTACTTAAGTCTCTGGAACAATGCTGGTATTACATGGAGCTTACATGGAAATGTTGGTGAGACGTGAACATGACTGTGGGGGCTACTGGAAGTAGAGGGAGGTGGGCGGTGATCACCCATTCCTGACTCCAAGAAGGCCTGGAGTTTTCAGCCACAAGGACCTCTATACCTGAAGTTTTAAGTAGATTAGGTTCTGTTTGGGTGGGAGCTGACCTGCCCCCATCCAAAAGTGCCCTGGAGGATAGAGACAGACATTTTAAAGAAATATGCTTTGGGCCAGATAGTACAGTGGGTAAGGTGCTTTTCTTGCAGGCCACTGATCCAGGTTCAGTTCCTGGTACCCCCTCATAGTTCCCCAAGCCTACCAGGAGTGAGCAATAGCACAGCAGGTAGGGCGTTTGCCTTGCATAAGGCCGACCTGGCCGACCCAGGTTTGATTCTTCCACCCCTCTCAGAGAGCCCGGCAAGCTACCAAGAGTATCTCTCCCACACGGCAAAGCCTAGCAAGCTACCCGTGACGTATTCGATATGCCAAACACAGTAACAAGTGTCACAATGAAGACGTTACTGGGCCCACTTGAGCAAATCGATGAACAACTGGAGGACAGTGACAGTGACCAGGAGTGAACCCTGAGCATAGCAAGGTGTGAACCCAAAACCAAAAAAGTATATTATTCTAGACTTATAGATAGTTCAAAGAACTTAACCATATCTTGCATTTGTGAGGCTGTGAGTTTAACCTCTTTACCCATTTGTAAGCACTGGGAAGCCCCTAAAAAAATTATTCATCTGTTCTGTGTGTATATATATATATATATGTGATGTTTGGGCTCAAACCCAGGACCTCACACATTGGAAATATGTATTCTCCTACCTACCTACATCTCTACCCTCAACTTTACTCTTCAACCCAAATCCCCGTTAATCTTAGGATGAGAAGAAATGCCAAGGCTGGAACCGGGGTTTCAAACCTGTGAGGTATGCCCTATAATCAGTAGTTTTGTTGTTTTTTGTTTTTGGGCTATACCCGGAAGTATTTTAGCAGTTATTTCCTGCTTGGTTCTTAGAATTCACTCCCACAGGTGCCAAGGGAACAAGGGGGTGCAAAAGATTTGACCCAGGGTTCCTCATGCAGAGCATGTATTCTAGCCCACTGAGTACTCCCTAGCCAATAATAGCATAGACTTTAGAATTATGCCTGGTTTGTTTTTTTTGTTTTTAAAAAGTTAGAAGTATTCTCACTTTTAAAAAATCACTCTCAATTTCATTATCTCTAAAATGGAAACTGCAATAGTGCTCATTTGTGAATTCTTGGTAAGATTACTGTAGCACTGTAGCACTGTCCTCCCATTGTTCATTGATATGCTCGAGCAGGCCCAGTAACGTCTCCATTGTGAGACTTGTTACTATGTTTGGTATACCAAATACATCATGGGGAGCTTGCCAGGCTCTGCTCTGCAAGCGAGATACTCTCGGTAGCTTGCTGGGCTCTCCAAGAGGGGTGAAGGAAGCGAACCCAGGTTGGCGATGTTGGCCACATGCAAGGCAAACGCCCTACCCGCTGTGCAAATAATACATAAAAAATCAATTCCTAGTACCCCATAGTAAGTGAAAGTGATTATGATAGGATACAAAATTGCAAAGCTGATAACTCCTAATTCCTTTCTAATTAGGAATTATCAAAGTTAACTCCTAATTTCTTCCTTTCTGCGGTAACTTCTAATTTCTTTCTAAATTGTTCCTTTTATTCCTTCAGGCCCTAAAGTTAAAAAAAAATTAAAAATGAATATAGTAGAATTTAGCAGTGTCATAGCCTGCTCCAGCATAAAAAAATGAGAATGAAACGGTCTTGAACCATATAATTCAACAAGCTGGAGCATGCACATGGCCAGGGTTCCATCCCTTGTACCATAAGGACCCGCCCCCCCAGCACTGTAGGGAGCCTCAACACAGAAACAGAAGAGCTCCCCCCACCACCCAAAAACAAAACAAAAGAAAAACAAAAAATCCAACCCAGTAATTTTTCTAGAGACCAAGTGTAATCTTAACAGTTTCTGGTAAGTTTTAGCATCACTGGATGTGGCACAAATACCAAAAATAAATACATTTGGGGGGGGCGGTTGTTTGGTCACATCCAGTGTTGCTCAGGGGTTACTCTAAGCTCTGTGCTCAGTATTGCTCCTAGTGGTGCTCAGGGACTATGGTGGCTAATCTTTAAAGTTTTGGGGTCTCAGGGGTATGGTGCCGCCAGCAGGTCAATCTGTACCTGTGAGGCGAGTGCATCAGCAGCCTGATGGCACCATCAGACTTTCAGATACCCCCAAATTGCTGCTGTGCCTTTAGCCAGACCCCAAAAACTTGGGACAAAGTTTACCAAGAAAGTAAACAGCCAAAAGTTAGATATGTGGGAGACACACCCACAAACCACCTCTGGCTCAGCTATATAATTGGAGACAAGGCCTCTCTGGTTCCTGATCGAACTGCTTAATGGCCATGATCCCAGAGACTCAGAAACAAATCTCGAAACCCAAAGGCTTTTGGCAGAAATGCGTCCTGTTCCTGCAGTAGGTTACTGGGGCTGGGTCACTCCAGGTGGGAAGAGGTTTTGTGCGTTGGCCTGTTCCCCTTGATGGCCCGGTGACCGCCATCCTCCAGAGGCCACCAGACAGTCAGGTTTGGGCCTGCAGTGACGAGACATGCGGGGCCAGCCCTTTCCTTCCCATCCCAGCAAGACCCTGAGTCGCCGCCTACAAATAGCCTCTCTGGCTCCTGATCAAACTGCTTAACAGCCATGATCCCAGAGACTCAGAAACAAATCTCAAACCCCAGCAGCTTTTAGTAGAAATGCATCTGGACCACATACAAAGTGGCCGCCACCTCAGAGCTTATTGAAAAACCAGGTATGAGCCGGCGGTGACGGGGCAACTGCAGTCTCATGGGAAAGGGGATCGTACCGGCTCGTCCTCCACACCCTACCAAGGTCACAAGTTGCCCCCCACAAGCGGCTCTCCAGCACGGCCATGGCTCCAGAGGCAAAAGGACTTAAACCAGAGCCTGGCAGCTTACGGCAGAAAAGTGAATGGACCATGCATTAAACTACGGTGCCATGCCTCCCCAGGAGGGAAAGGGTGTTGCTCCCTTCCGCCTTCTCCCCGCCCACCCCCCCGCCCACCCCCCGGCAGCAAGGTGGCTGCCACCTCAGAACTTTTTGGAAAGCCAGGTATGAGCCAGCAGTGATGGGGCAACTGCAGTCTCATGGTAAGGGGGGTGGTATCAGCTCATCCTTCACGCCCTACCGAGGTCACGAGTTGCCCCCCACGAGCGGCTTTCCAGCAGGGCCATATCACCAGACATACAGAAACCAATATCGTAATTATCTGGCTCTTTGCAGAAATCCAAAATCATTATATGATTCTCATAACCAGCTATAGAAAACAAAGTATTTCACAATGCCTTTTCAGCAATTCTGATTGTTGGAGGGGAAATTCTAAACAATAATGGTGCATCTTTTGTCGAAATGATGAATGTAATCAATGTAGAGAAGAGTTAAGTGGAAATCATCTGCCTCACAGGCATTGGGAGGGGTGGGAGGGGGGTATATTGGGGTTCTTGGTGAAAAATGAGTACTGGTGAAGGGAGAGGTGTTTGATCATTGTATGACCGAGACTTAAACCTGAAAGCTTAGTAACTTTTCCCACAGTGATTCAATAAATAAATAGAAGAAGAAAAATAAATAAATAAAACTATAAAAAAAATAAGGTGAAGTTCATGCCAAATTCAATCAGCTAATCAGTGGCTGAATAAATAGCAGTACTCCTACATAGAAAAAACAAAATAAAGTTTTGGGATCTCTTTTTAAAAATAAATTCTGTAAAATTCAATTATGAACAATTTTGTAAATCATGGTGTTTTAAAAATAAAAACAAAAATTCTCTGGGACCAAAGAGATGATACAGAGGTTAAGCTATGTGTCTTGCATCCTGCTGACCCCCAGCACCACATTTGGTCCTCTGAGCACCACCAGGTGTAGCCCCAAACCCCCTAAATAAATATATATACACACACATATATGCTTCTTAGTTTTATATGTGTATATGTATAACACGCATAACATACATATATGTTACTTTTGGTAAGAAAGAGACAATACAGTAAAATCTGGACTTCTGAATAGATCTTATTTTATAAATTTGACTTTTTTCAACTCCTGGGAAGTGAAGTAGGGGATATTTTTGGGATTAGACTCAGGGCTTTGCAAAATACTAGGCAGTTCTGGTCTGACCCTAAATTTGACTTTGGAACTATGTAAATCTGTAACTGTAAAATGAAATTAAAATAGAGAATCCCTAAAAAGGAAACAAAATGAAACAACTACAT